AAAAAATATGAGTTTTTGATCCTAGCATAAGAACCTTAAAATTGGAAAAATTAAGTTTTATATTTAAATCGAAAAAATTATTTATAACATGAAAAAAAAAAAAACTGGAAACGTCCTTAAAAACCTCCATCCATGGATGGAGGTTTTGGAGGAATGGCAAGCACCTTAATTTAACATACAGCAAGCATCTTCAGTTTTCAGCAAGCACTTATTTGAAGCAATGTTGTTGATGCCAACTTCCCTCACATGGAAATCCCGAAATTTACCAATTTTGATAGCTTGAGACAAACTATTCTGCACCAAGAAATCGGCCCTTTCTATATTTTCAAGGAGTACAACTGAATGGGTTTGCTTGCTTAACTCCTCAACAATGTAAAAAAAAAGTCCAATTCTCGACTTCTTGTAAACAGAATTCCATTTAAACAAAAAAATAAATAAATAAAAAATCGAAAATGAAGTACCCACAAAAAAAATTTGATTCCATCCAGCAATTACATATATAAGTACAGATATAGAGAGAGAATAAGCAATCGAGAGAGAAATGAGGTTACAAGCAAGATAACAACTCTATGGGTGGAAAATTGAATTTGTCCTAAACGATTTAAATTTGATCAATCTGATCTTTGCACCAAATATGATTAAAATGGATACTATCTATTACAAAAATAATAATAAAAAAAGTGCCCAAACAAAAAGCCACTTCTAAAAAATAAAATTAAAATAAAATTAAAAAAATTAAAAAAAAAATGTGAGGGGAGCAAGCCTCACACCGTGTGCTCAGCTCCTGCTCCGTCTGGCACGGAGTAGCATCCATGGTGACCCAAAAATGATTTTTTATAATTTTCACTAAATTTGTTCATTCCATAATAGTGTAAATATTCTTTTGGCCCAACAACACACTAATAACTATAAATACCTTATTCTTCTTCATCACCCAATAATTCAAAAAATCTCCACCATCCTCACATCATTTCTATGTCCTCTCATTACCTCTCTTCTTTTTTTTTTTTTTAACCTCTAATTGACTAATTTCTGGTTCCAATATTCAAGATTCACAAATTCAAACTCAAAACAATATTCTTTAAAAAATAAGATTAATTCTTTAATTCAACATTAACGCCAATGAATCAACAAACAAAAGAATATCCTATATAAGATAAAAATGCCGAGATTCAAAAGTAATCCAAAAAATTTCAAATTTAATACCCCGCTTTTAAATCAAATTAAAGTTCCAAATCCATTTTTCCATCTATATATATATATATATATATATATAGTTCACCCATATAGAAAAATGCATAACATTCGCATGGAAAGTCAGAAAAATTAGGATTTCTACCTTCAATTGGCTGCAATGGAGGCAAGACCAGTGAAACCCTCACACGAGAGCACCAAAACTTTAAAACTTTTGAACGACTTGGAGATTGTTCGGCCGGAATTGGAGGTATGGGTCCGTGCTGATGAGCTACATAAGATAAAAATGCCGAGATTTAAAACTAACTCAAAAAATTTCAAATTTTATACCTTGCCTTTAAATCAAATCAAAGTTCCAAAGCCACACACACACACATATATATATAGTTCACCTTACAGAAAAATGCATAACATTGGCATGGAAAGTTGAACAAATTAGGATTTCCACCTGCAATTGGCTGCAATAGAGGCAAGACCAGTGAACCCCTCACATGAGAGCACCAAAACTGTAAAAGTTTTGAACAACTTGGAGATCATTCGGCAGGAATTGGAGGTATGGGTGTTTGCTGATGAGTTTTTGGTCAGATTTCAAACGTATGGGATTGTGGAGTGGAGGATGTCTGATATTTGTGTGGGAAAAAAAGGGTATGGGATTGTGGAGTGGGCGATGTTAGAGTTGATAGTTGAGTGAAAAAAGAAAGAAAGTGGAAGATGTTGGGAAATTACGCCACGTGTCCTGCAAACCTTTCACTTTTTTATATATGTAGGATAATCTTTTGATACTCTATATATACCAAAAGCCGTCCAAAGTGTGAAGAATCTCAATTTGACCTAAAAATAACATATTCTACGTATTTAAGAGATGAAAAACAAGGCTAATTCACCAACCAAAGGCAAATTATACAAGTTATTTAAGAATATTCATCAATTTTTTAAGTTTCAAGCTAAGGAATTGAACTTTTCCATTTCTTCATTATTTCTCGATCAGTGATATCTTTTTCATTATTTATCATATATTTTAATAATTAGGATGGTTGGCTATGTCTTTCAATTATATTTGATGAATGTTTGAACTCTATTTTCATTTACTTCAATTCAAGACTTCAATTTAGGAATTTCGTGTTACTGTTTGATTGATGTTACATATTCATTGCACGACTTATTGTTTGATTACCAATTAAGTAGTTAGTTAATTGTCATAGTGTAGGAATATTTACAATAAGTCTAGAACGCAGTAAAATTAACATGTGTACTTAGAATTGTGAATAATCTCTCTCATACATACAATCTTATTGACAATCTAAACTAAATGCATGACTTTTATATGAATTCGGACTAGGAAAATGATCGTCTAGTGTTAGTCATAGGTTGGTGTATATTGAAAAAGAGCATTTGACATATTAGTTTATCGGTTGTAAAAAAATGCATGAATTCAATATAATGATTATTGAGAATTGAAATAAATGAAAATGGGGAGATACACAAATCTAATACAAGCATTTACATTAGATTTAATCACTTTTTTAGAGTAAAATTAGAATAATTAACAACCAAATCACAACTCTTTTGATGTTACCATACTTCGCTTTTAGTTGCAATTCAATTACAAATTAAACCTTATTTCTCGTGAAAAATGATATTTTTAACTTACAAAATCTTATTACTCGCACAAAGATCTTGTATGTTTTTGGGTTTCATGCCAACATCAGTCAAACACTCTAAGGGTGCGATTGATTGTAATTATGAAATTTGCATGAAAAGAAAATAAATTTTAGCCAATTCAATTGTCTAAAACTTATATGTATGAAATTTGCATGATTTAGTTTTCGACTGAAAAAATATTATACTTATTTATTTTTTATTAGTGGGATGATGAGGGAGAAGGGATAGATGAAAAGAAGAAAGAGAGTGGATTTCCTGAAAAATAAAATTTTAATTCCTCCGAGAAAATATTTTTTTCATTTTGAGAAAAATATAGTCACATGATCAAAGATAAAAAAATATTTTTCATGAAAAAATATCAATCAAATAGTTTAAAAGAAAAAATTTGGATTGAAAAATTGTATTTTTTAGAAATATGATTAGGGCAAATAAAATTACCCTAAACTTAGAGTCGGCCGGGCGGAATATAATCAGCCACGTCAGCGATGCATAAGCATCCTCTAAATATATCACTGTCGCCCAACATTTGCCTCGTTCTCTCTCCAAAGTTGTAGCTAATACCGCAGCCACCAAGGAGACTCTTTCTCTCTCTGGCCGAATTAGTTCCTTTATTCGCTCGAATCCGAGGTCTATAGTAGTCTCTGGTAGTATATTCTTTGGTTGATTTGAATACTAAGTTGAAACGGATCAAAGGTAAAGCTGTTTCAGTTTTCCAATCGATCTGTTGGGATTCGGGTAATTTTTTATTCATTTTATTTTGATTTGAAAGCTCGATTTGGGTTCTTTTTGGATCTGATCATTTTATGTATGTGGAGGCTTGTTCTGAACTGCAGTTGTGTTGTGCTGGATATCGAGTTCTAGATGACTATTTTGTTCAGTTTAGGGTTTGTATAAATTTGGGGAAATGTGTTTTGTAATAAGATTTCGTTTCTCGAGCTGGATTATTTGTGAAGTTTGAATTATAGCTGGAAAGTTGTTTAAAGATGCGGTCTTTGAGAATTGAGGAATGACGTACCTTTTTGCTTCAGTTTTCTATCAATATGTTAGTGTAAATTGAAATTTCAAGAGTCCGAATCATTTCTGACTGTTTATTTTCCTTTCCTTTTCTTAATATTCTTTGTTGTACAAATCTCTCTTTACTTTCCTTGTTTATTTATCTCTAATTCTTCAGCAGTTTAAATTAGGATGTTAATACCTGTCATTGTTGCAAAAGGGTGCAGCTGGACTCACAATTGTATTTCATAATTTTTTTTCCTCACCTCACCGGTTTTTTCTTTTCCTCCTATCCCTTCCTTTTTTTTTTTTTGAAGTCAATCTTGAAGTTCTGTAAACTCCAAAATTTGTGCACTTATCTTTTCATTGAACTTTGTTGATAATATGTTGATATATGCTGAGAGAGTAGGCATCATGCCTTGGGCTATGGCACTTAATAGCTATTGTGTCTATTGAGACTAATACAACACCTTAGCTATTTATGCTCTTCTAACGAATTTAGTGCAGGGAAAATTGCAGCCACAGTACCAAACTTTGCTCAACCCTTTCATTTGTACCACCATGAGTACCATACCTTTAAAAAATTTGCAGCTCAAGTCCAAAATGATGATTTTCGTTAATTAACTCCCAAAATAAAAAACTTCATTAGTTTCACCAGATAAGGCAGGGGCATTTTGGATAAAACACATTTTCCTATAGAATCAAATTAAAAAAAAAAAAAAAAATTAAAACCACAACCCATCCCATCTCCTACTTCCCCAACCCCTCACTTCCAAATCCAAAACCTCTCAACCCAACTGCCACCACCGATAGCCACCTTAGCAAAAAAAGAGACCCCACAATCATCATCATCGTAACTGTCCGGTATCTTTTCCACCTCAAACTGACCCACAACTAATTAAACAAAAATCAACAGAAGAAGTTCTATAAAGATATCAACATAAATCATAGTTTTGGAAGGAATTTTTCAGAGTTGAAAACAACAATTATTGACGGCTTTTCTATTGTTCGATCTGGTTTAATCACCACTGTTGCCATCTCCCCTTGCGCTTAATTGAACGGATAATTGTGGGAAGATAATGGCTTGCAATTTGAAGCAGGTCAACTATTGCTGATAGGTTGTGGACATGGGTATCTGGGTTGCTGCTTGTTGAAGTTACTGAGTTACATATATGCACAAATGAATATTGCACAAATGTCACTAAAATTCCGCCTTCTCATCAATGTGATCTTTGCTAAATTGCGTGGATTAAATCAGACCCAGTTTTCATTTTCATTAATAGTAACCATCGATTCTCCTATTCTCTTCAAAAAAATCAACACTACCACCGTCGCTCTTTTGGAGTTTATTAATTGTGGGTATTATGGAGAAATTTGAGGCGAATTAGAATCGAAAAAGTAGCAGCACAAGGGAGGAATAAGAGGAGCTGTCGAATGGAGTGGAGGACCTTTTCTTCGGGCAGGGATTCAAAAATATTCACAGAGGTTCTACAATGGCTAGGGGAATTAAGCATGTTTAGATTTGAACTTGGATTCTGGTGGTGGTGATGCTAGTGTTGGGTGGGTAGAGGTGGCTGCAGGCAGTGACAATGGTGGTTGGGTGGAGTGCTTTTGGTTTTGGGGAAGAAGGAGATGAGGGTGTGTTGTGACTTTATTTTTGTTTTTAATTTTTGATTCAATAGGAGAAATGTGGTTTGTCCAAAATGCCTTTGCCTTATTTGGGGAAAATAATTAAGTTTTTTATTTGGGGAGTCAACCTACGGTTTTGTGGTCAAATTGACGGAAATCGTCATTTTGGACTTGAGTTGCAAATTTTTAAAGGTTTGGTACCCATGGTGACACAAATGAAAGCCTTGGGTAAAGTCTGCTATTAAATGAAAGGTTTGATACCATGACTACAGTTATCTCTTTAATATATGTACAATACAGGATTGATTAGCATTCATCTATAGAGAGGGTGGTTTTGATTGTGGGTTATGTTGGCCCATCTACTTCAATGTGTGGTCTCTACCAGCAGACTTACTGAACCAATTGTTTTATGAAGCTAACTGGTGTAAACAAACTTTCTGATGTTCAAAATATATACCTGTATCAGTCATAAACTTAAGTTTTGAGCTTTGTAATGAAGGCTACCTGATGAATTTGCTATCTTCACTTTTGATGAATTTTTGGTTGTTTGAACTTATATGCCCCTTTTGCTCGTATTCTGCAAAACATTTTAAGCTGCTTTGTTAATGAAATCAGTAATAGCACTTGGAAATGACAGTTTGTACAGTTTTATTTATAATTTGCAGTTTTTTTCCTGACTTGATGCTGATTTTATTTAAGTCTATATATTTTCTTTTGCAATAAGGTTGTGTTTGTGCTATCTTAAAGCTCTCATTGCATAGCAGCATACAAGCAGCAATATATATGTTAAAGAACAACTTAGTTAAAAATGGGAAACAGTAATGGGTAGATTCTCATTAAAGAAAAAAGAAATAAATAGTACTTTTATATGTGAGCTCGTTATATCTATGAAGTAGTCAAAACAGAAGCAAATGATTGAACAGTTGATTATATGACTTATGAACTCTGACTACCATCAGTTGAGATTAAGTGCAGGAATAGTCGAGCGAATTTATTTCTTTTATATATTCTGTATATATTTTTTATATATTAGTCTTTACATTTATTTTTCAGCACTGATCAATTTTTCTAGGCTTACTGTATTACTGTTGCTTTGCAGACTTGGCAAGAATCCTAAATTATTACTGCATGGAAAAGATTATGAAGTATTTTAACCATAGACGTTCTATTAATTTAAATTGGATGTATGTCACTTATCTCTTAGTCTGTGTTCAGTGCCCTTTCTAGACTAATAAGTAAATTCTTGTAGTTGCATTCTTTTGTGGAAATTCAAGATTAAATTTAAGCTGCTGTACTTTAGTTGTCTGTTTTTATAAGGAGCATCTATATCTTTCTGGCTCTATTTTGTTTATATTTGATGGTAGTTCCAATTGTTCTGCAGCTGTGGAGAGGAAAGAGTTGCGTATTTGTATTTGTGGTGTTGTGTATTAGCATCTGAAAATGCCCAAGGCAAGGAGAGAGCGTTCTGTGTCATTTGATAGGTCAAGGGGATATCCTTTTCCCTGCAGTTCCAGTCGTTCAAAAGCATCATTGCCAAAAAATCCTTTAGAGGATCCAGAGAATATGAAAGAATGGGAAGATACCCGATGTCCAGTCTGTATGGAACATCCCCATAATGCAATTCTACTTCTATGTTCGTCTCATGAGAAAGGCTGTCGCCCTTTCATGTGTGACACAAGCTACCGCCACTCAAATTGTTTTGACCAGTTTCGCAAGTCATTTGGTGAAGCTAAACCAATGATGCAAAGACCAGAAGACACACTAATCTCAGTCTCTCCTGTGATGACATCTTCGACAATAATATCAGAATCAACAGTCCGTGATTTGGAAGGGGAAAGAAGTGTGGAAGGATCTATGCCCGTGGAAGGCGATTCAATCAACAACCAGGAGAAGCCAAAGCTGGTATGCCCTCTTTGCCGGGGCCAAATAAACGGGTGTACTGTTGTGGAGTCCGCTCGTCGTTTCATGAACTCAAAATCGAGGAGCTGTGCAAGTGAAACATGTGATTTCAGTGGCAATTATACAGATATTCGGAAGCACGCAAGATTGGTGCATCCACTTACTAGGCCAACAGAAGCTGACCCAGAAAGGCAGCGTAACTGGAGGAGATTAGAGCGGCAGAGGGACCTTGGAGATTTACTTAGCACACTTCATTCATCCTTTAGCGAAGAGAGGATCGAGGACAACAGCACTTTGACCATTGATGATGGTGGCTGGCTGACAGTATATTTCCTTGTTCGATTTATCCGACCAGGAAATACTGCAGGTCGATCCAGTAATTCAAGAACTCGTACTCAAATCAGAAGATCATCAAGACAACTTTGGGGTGAACCTGATGGAGAAACCGATTCCAGAGATGATGTTGACGAATCTTCCGACAGCGGGCAAAGCCAAGTAGTGCATTATGAGAGGAGGCAGCGGAGGCGTCGATCAACACCAGAAGACTAGTAACTACCAGCAAAAGTCGGGGGTGTGCATGGTTATTTTTCTTGAAACTTCACAATCCTTTAAACTTATTTATAAATCTTCCAGCTTATTTATTTACAAAATTATCCTGGTCTCTCCGGGGTGAAAAGAGCGAATGGGTTCTGATATGTTCCATCTTGTGTAGCCAACATGCATAGAAGTGTAACCTTCTGAAACTTAAAAAAATTTATTTGGGGAAATTACATTTCCTCTGCTGTCTTTGGCCACAATTGCCTAATGGTTCCTTATTGAGTTGAATAAATTGTAATTCTGTTGTTTATATTTGCTTTGTATCAGTTCCATGCTGCAACAAGAATGTCTATAGGTTTTGTTGAAAATCAACTTATAAATATCTTTCCTGTGCGCGCTGGAGCATTGGATTTTTTATAGTAGAAATCTAATTATTGAACAGAGATGCGTTTCTATTTTTTGGGCCTGTACATAGCATCATTATTCTATTTCCAAACCGACCTTTCCACCACCTTATTTTTTAAGGAGCATTTTCTATTGTTTATTTAAGGAAATTTCGGTTTGTACAGAATTTCAGTTTACAGAATTCTGCCAGAATAGACGTATGGGCCTCATGTATGATAAAAAAAATGCCAAAAATTATCACCTACCAACGTCCACTATGAGTTGTTTGGAAAAATTCTGTGATCTTCCCTTCTGTAAGTGCAGCACAGCTGTTTATATAATGCTTAAGATGAAATATTTGGAATATTTGGATGAACTGTGCTCATAATTACATTGAGCAACCAACCCCAAAAAACTTTGCTGATGAATATGGATTCCAGCTGAGTGATACAACTCGTGCGAGGCTTAGTTTGGCAGTTTCAACTGAAAAAGGTAGACAACAGTGTATTTCTCTTCAGATGAGAACATTCTTTTTGACCATCACCCTCTTGAAAATGATTACTTTCTTGTGTTTGAATATAACGAAAATTAAATATTTGGGGTTAATGATCTTTGATGGATCGTCTATCGAAAGAGCATATGTAGACCTTAGTGATAACGACGCATAAACTTCCTTCGGATAATCTTTGTTTCCCTTTAAATGAAGTAGCAAATGCGAATCTAATCAAAGTTGTTGTGTGTATATATTATAGAATAAGAAACGTTAATGTATCGGGTGTTCCTTTTATGTAACGCCATATATAGTTCATTTATTTCTTTGGTTGTTATAGTACATTTGTGGTAGCCAAATTTAGCAAGAAGATATCTACCGAAATCATCAATATTGAGGATACATGCATTTTTTGAGCTCATCGACGATGAATTGTTTGTCTAATTATACAAGTTGACGGGTGTAAAAGCAAACAATGATTTACAGAACTGGGCAGTACTAATTATTTTCTGGGCATTTCGATCCTGAAATTGCAGATTTTCCTTCGATTAGAACTTTGTTAAAATATTATTTCTCTGGGTTGGCCTCGTCAATGGAATTCAATACACTGTTTGTAGTCAAAATTAGGTATTAGTCTCAAAATCTAACACTGTTAAGGATGTCAAAAATTGAATAGTACGGAGCATGTGATCTTACTTATCTTTATTCTTCTCTAAATCAATGTGCGAAATGTAGATAGCGATTTGAGAAAGCCGACTTCATATGAACAAGTTTTCTTTAAATATGGTTCATTGTGTTGAGGTTTGATCGTTTTATCAGAGTCTGATCTCATCCATTTGTCCCCGTTCAAATTTGTGAGCGTCTATCAAACTAATATGTCTAATTTTGCATTTGAAACTTGTCTTACTTTGCAATTCATGAAATGCTACTTAAATTCTCCTTTTTAAATTTCTAACTTTTGTCATGTCATCTTATTCACCACCAACATATGCATATCAAGTATGGTGTAAAATTGTGTGTAAATTGGTATTTTGAAAATCACATTTGTATCTTCATTTACATTTTGGTGGATCTAAGTTCAAATTTTGCTCGAATAAGAAGATCTAAATCCACTTTTTGTCTCTGTCACTATAACAAAAATTGTAAATTTACATATTTTTTTATTGAAAAATTCAATTTGCATTTCATTTACATCTCTTCATTTGACAGGTTTCTGATCACTTCAAAGATCTAAATCTTAATTTAGATTTATTTTAAACCACAATCGGAGGTGTTCTTAGATGCTTTGTTACAACTCCAACACATATGCCACATTTGTCTTGATGAACTAGCTAGAAGCTTTGAAATATAGTCAACAATAATTGGTCAATGCTGTCAACACACTTTTCCTGCAACTTAAAACAAACACTGCAATTCGGATACGATGCTCATGAACAAGATTTTAAGGAGCTTTCCTACGTATATATACATATTGGATTTTTCCGCGGTGCATTGTAGTTCAATGTGGTTAATTAACGAGTTATTAGCATGCCTGGGCATAATTCGATTCGGTTCAATTCTCGTCTAGGCATGATCCGATTCGATTTGGTTCTAATGAGAATCAAACTGGACGCAAAATTTTCGGGTATTTAGTAAGTGGAACCGACAAGTCCAAATTCAATTATGAAATCGTTTGGTTCAGTTCAATTCGACTCGATTTCGTTCGGTTCTTAGGTTCTGAACTATAATTAATTTTTTTAATATTTACAAAGTTACATTAATTCAACTAATGATATGTTTCATTTTAGCTCTGATAAAATAATGTAATTCAATCTTATGTATCTTTTGCGTCTTTCTTTGCTGAATTCGTCATAGACTTGATTGCTAAAATCACATGAAGGAAAATATAATGAGCTCACCATAATTTAGAGATGTATTGTCAAGCTTTAATTCAATTTTTCCAGAATGATAGAAACGGCACTACGGTAGAATAACATATTTAGATAAAACTTTAATCAATTTCATTAAGTTGGACTTGGATTGAAAATTAGAAATTGAAAATTTATATTTTTGAGTTTGAGCTAAATTAACTACTTAGCAAATTTATTTAGAAAAGAATTTGGTTATCTCAAATAAATAAATTTAAAAAAATTAGGGAATACGATTCTTATGTGGTTATTCGATCTTGATCTAGAACTGAGGACCTAGTCGAACTCGTCGATTCTTGATTTAGATATCTGTTCGGGTATTTAATTTAAAAAGAATCGCTTGGTTCGATTTGGGTCCAATCTGGTCTATTAGGTTCGGGAATTTTGTCTAACCCTGATTATTAGCATAAAAACGATCCTACGTTTGGAGTTCATTGTGCAAAATATCCATAAGTTTCATTTTATTTATTTATTTTTGCATTTTCATCTCTATTTCCACCTTTCATTGTGAAAATTCATCACTTTCATCCAATTTCTCAGTAAAAATCACGCAATGATAAATATACCTTCCCATTTAAATAAAACAAGAAGGGAAAAAAAAAAAAGAAAAAGAAAAAAGAAGAAGAACTAATTTCAACAAAAGTTTCAAACTTTTGAAATATTAGTAGACTTACCCTAAACCTTTTATTTTTTACAACACTTTATCTTCTTCAACCAATCCCGATTCGAACTAAATCAAATAGAGTAGTTCCTCTTAAGTTTAATACTCAAACGAGTGTATGAATCAAGAGTCAACAAATTTGATTCGATTCTCGATTTTAAACCAAGAACTAAAGAATCAAATCTCCATAATTTTTTTTTTTATATCTTAAATAAGTCAAATTATTTTACTTTAAAAAAAAAAAAGTTGTTAACAAATTAATTTAGCCTAAACTCAAAATATAATTTTCATATTTTAAATTTTCAACCCAAATCTAACCTGAACAAATTAACATAAATTTTATCAAAATCTCTTATTATACCGTAATGTCGTTTTGGAGGAATCGAATTAGAAGTTTGGCTACGCTTCTTTTCATTATTGTGAGTTAACTATCTTTCTCATCCTGTGATTTTGACAATCAATCTATAAAAAACTCAAAAAAGAGAGGCGTAAAAGATATCACGTGATTGGACTACGTTATTCTATAAGAGTTAAAATTGAACATGTTATTAGTTAAATTAATCTAGCATTGTAAATATTAAAAAATTTAATTACTGTACGAAATTCGAAAACTGAACGGAGTCGAATGAAATCAAACTGAATCGAATAGTTCTATAATTAAATTTGGACCTAAATGTTTCACTGACTAAATACCCGAAAATTTGGTGCAATTCGATTCTCTTCAGAACCGAATCATGTTTGCTCTAGGGGATTGGTTGAAGAAGATAAAGTTTTGTAACAAATGATGAATGGTTTGGGGGATTCTACTAGTATTTCAAAAGTTTGAGACTATTGTTGCAATTAGTTCTTCTTTTTTATTCTTTTCTTTTGTTTTATTTGAATATGACAGTATATTTGTCATTTCATGAATTTTTATTGAGAAATTGGATGAGAATGATAATTTCTGAAATGGAAGGTAAAAATAGGGGTGAAAATGTAAAATTAAAAAATAAAAAATGAAATGTATAAACGTTTTGCGCAATGAACTCTAAACATAGGGATATTTAGTTTAAATAACCCGCATTTAATTATTTAGAAGTTTCATTAAATAACTATTAAGGTTGTTATGTTGCCACCATAATTTTTATTTGATACCCACAATTTAATTGTAGTTAAGCTCCTCAATGTTTTCTTATTGTAGCAATTATTTTCGTAAATTTTTTCTGTCATATTCATATATTTAACCTTTCATTATTAGTTTGTCTTGTCCTTGATATGATTTACTTAAAAATGTTTTATTTTCGTGCTTAGATTAAATCGTCCCTCGCCCGATTAAGTTCCAGTTGCTTCGCTGGTAGGGCCCACTTAGGTTAGAGGGCATTATCCCTCAGTTCTTAATAACCTTTGACGTGTAGTTCACATGTTGCTAGCTAGAACTTGATCGAATAAAATTCATTGATTTCATCTACTATCAATTTCTTACTCTTTCCTTGTTGCGGTTGGTTGCCTTAGTTCAATTGAGTGAGTTTTTAGAAATGAAACTAAACTGCGTGTTATCTATACAACCCCACTTCTGAGGAAGAAAATATTTTTTTAGATAGACTTTATTTATTTATTTTTTAAAATTACGACAAAACAAATTATTTTACGCCATTTCAACTGATATTTGGATATAAAATTGTTATCAAATACAAAATTTATTAACTAATGAAAAGTTTGAAGATAAAAATGACATGAAAAATTGTTAGAAATATAAGTATGATAAAGTCAATAACCTTAAACACAACTAAATTTGGTGTAAGAAATAAAAAATTATAGTTTGAATATAATCACCCGAACTATTATCTCCATTATGCATTTTCCAATTTATGAATCCATGTACAAATTGTGCTCTTTATAGCCTGACTTAATCGTTGCCTAACATGGCCATGCTTTTGCTATTATTTTGTCTGCCATGTGTCCATAGCCTTAGTTATTTATCACAAAACTCTTCTCTCTCTCTCTCTCTTTAAATTACATTTTTCTGGTCTACTATCAATTTCTTACTCTTTCCTTGTTGCGGTTGGTTGCCTTAGTTCAATTGAATGAGTTTTTAGAAACGAAACTAAACTGCGTGATATCTATACAACCCCACTTCTGAGGAAGAAAATATTTTTTTAGATAGACTTTATTTATTTATTTTTTAAAATTACGACAAAACAAGTTATTTTATCCCATTTTAACTGACATTTGGATATAAAAATGTTATCAAATACAAAATTTATTAACTAATGAAAGGTTTGAAAACAAAAATGACATGAAAATTTGTTAGAAATATAAGTATGATAAAGTCAATAACCTCAACTAAATTTGGTGTAAGAAATAAAAAATTTATAGTTTGAATATAATCACCCGAACTATTATCTCCATTATGCATTTTCCAATTTATGAATCCATGTACAAATTGTGCTCTTTATAGCCTGACTTAATCGTTGCCTAACATGGCCATGCTTTTGCTATTATTTTGTCTGCCATGTGTCCATAGCCTTAGTTATTTATCACAAAACTCTTCTCTCTCTCTCTCTCTTTAAATTACATTTTTCTGATTTGATCACGCATCAACTGTATATTCTTCAATAAAAATAATATTATACGTAAATTCATGACTTTTTTTTATTTTTTAATCACATATTTTTTATCAATACACTATTCAAAAATGCACTATTTTGACAAGGAGGACACTCAAACAAGGGCTCAGTAACTATCATGGCCATGCTTTTGCTATTATTTTGTCTGCCATGTGTCCATAGCCTTAGTTATTTATCACAAAACTCTTCTCTCTCTCTCTCTCTTTAAATTACATTTTTCTGATTTGATCACGCATCAACTGTATATTCTTCAATAAAAATAATATTATAGGAAAATTCATGACTTTTTTTTTATTTTTTGATCACATATTTTTTATCAATACACTATTCAAAAATGCACTATTTTGACAAGGAGGACACTCAAACAAGGGCTCAGTAACTATCATTTATTGATACTACAAGTTTGATTAAATTAAATTAACGTTAATAAATACTTAGAATACAAATATATCAAGTGCATCACACGTGGCATAAAACTAGTATGTTGATTATGAGCTCGTGGAGGCTAAACCAATTTTAGGGTTCATAAAAAACCTTAGAGCCAATTTTCTAATGTTAAAGAATTTTTTTTTAGAAAAATGACAATTTTTGGCTATAGCTATAGCCCTATTTGGAAGTATTATGATCGAAGAAATTAAGAAATGGGCGAACTAAAAACTTTTCGCACTGAAATATTAATTAAATATCATGTTTAAACAGGAAGGAGAAAGATCTTTTTCGATAAATCTCTCTAGTTTTCGTTTAGACCTCTTCAATATTTCCGTAAAAAATCTAGGAATAGGAAGATTCATCGAATCATTGGAATTACATGATTGAAAATGCGATCCACATGATTGATTTTGCTTATGGGATCAAATCAATATGAATGTCAATTTAGCTTCTATTTGGACCAATGAGTCAATGACTAATGATTAAGTGCTTGTTTGGTACAGATTTCAAACCAATTAAAATCAATTTTTTGATCCTTATTTTACTATTCCAGCCGTCATTTTTGAATTCTTTTCTCATAAGTAGGATCTACTTTATCAATCAATTATCAAAATTCCTACCAAATAATATCAAAATTCCAACAAAACAAGCACTAAGATGAGCTCAATTGTCAACTACACAATTTCACATTTTTTCTTCATTATTTTGAAATCACATCCAAACCTCGAGGACTAAAATGAACTTTTCCAACAATTTGATTGTTTGCACGATCTAAACTCTGTTTATTTTTCTCCCTTTGGTTTCAGAAAAGTTTGAACCTTTTTCTCTGGCCATAAAGATCGGGAGAAATCCGATTTAAAGGCCATTCTCAATCTCTTAAGCTTCGGTTTATGAAAAGTAATTGGACCCAGAAATCATATTCCATTTCTAATTAAAAGTGACATTCATTGAAAGGAAGAAAAAAATTGAAAAATATATAGAGCATCAAATGGAGGAAGAAAATGAGGCCTTAAGGTCTAGCCCCGAACGAAAAGCAAGCAGCAGCAGCAGCAGCGGCAGCGGCAGCGGCAGCGAAGAATCCCAAGTGATATTGAATGTATATGACCTCACACCTGCAAATCAGTACTCTATTTGGTTTGGTTTTGGCATCTTCCATTCGGGCATTGAAGGTGAGAAATCAAGAAACAGCTTCTCTTGTATTCGATTTAATTTACGTATGTATATATACATAAGGCCGGTTTTCTGATAGAACTTGAAAATGGGTTCTCTTAATTTCTTGAAATTTTGAGGTGGATAGGAAATTTGATAGGGATCTTGAAATGGGAATTATTTGGACTCTAGTTGTTTGAACTTCGGTTCGGATTACTCGGATGAAAATATGAATTTGGGCTTTAAAGGGGAAAAAAAAAAAAATTCTTTCTACTGGATTGGACACAGTTTATTACCAGCTCAATCTTGTTTTCTTGGAGTGCACTGATTGGGAGAAATTTTGGCTAATTACTATCTTGTGTCATGATTATTTGAGTTGTGCTTCTTCTTTAATTTCTCTGATTAAATTCAAAATATTCAGATTCTTCAAGTGAATACGAATAGTTATTTATATCAAGTGCTGAAGCTATGAGTATTAAAGATGCAAAATTATGTATTTATGTATATGTATGTGTATGTGTGTAAACTTGAAATAGAATATGATATTTTCATTTAATAATTCCCAAAAAATGGAATCAATATTGTAGTTAGGAACGTCGAACTCATCAATTTTTCCTTATTCTTTTCAGTTGCATGCATGTTATTTATTTCTCCGTCATTCCTCACCCCTCTATAGTAATAATACAACAGTGAAGATTAAGTTTACATTGCTTATGGCGTCCAGGATTAGATTAATATGTCTCATGCTATGTGCTCAGACTCGGGTACGGGCACGCATTGAAGTGCCAGATATTTTATTTTCTAAAATGTAGGATGTGGGAACATTGCTAAAAAGAGTCCAAATTTCGAACGTGGGTACGTCTTTATATGTCTTTCAAGTTTCAATTTTTTTACTGACGCAATATGTCATTTTGAATATGTTAAAATCAAAATGAGTATTGAATAAGAGGTTAAGACGAATAAAATAAAATTTTGACGCTTAGTTCTCAATTATGGGAAGTTAATTATTAAATGTTATATAAAATAGAAAATAATGAACTTGATTGCAATTTGGACTTAATGGAATAGCAGAACTATATGGAACCCGTTTTCATTTTATACAAACAAAATCCTAAACCATCGATGCAGAAAGGAAAAGAAGGAAAAAAAGAAGGAAAGGGAAAGAAAAAAGAAAGAAGAAGAAGAAGAAAAGGGGAAAACCTAGCGTCGTCGCCTTTCTTCACCCTCTCGGAGGTGGCGCTAGGTTTATAGAGAGCAAAAATGGGAAAGAAAAGGAAAAGGGGGGGAAAAAGAAGAAGAAGAAAGAAAAAGAAGCAAAAACGATGAAATGTTCGGTTGAAACTTGGAGGATTCAACACATATTCCACATTTATACCTATGTCGTGTCATGTACAACATGGGTACTCCAACCATTTCGAAGAATCCGAGTATCAAGTTTGCGTTAGACACATTTGCGCTCACAACATTGAGGAGATATAAAGGCATGGAATGCAAGTTCTTATACAAGAAGAAGTTGCCAGATAAGTAGTTGTAAGCTTGTAATTAAGTCCCCGTTTGACAATCATTAAAGTGAGCTTTTATGATGAAAATGAGTTTTGGAATAGTGATTTTTTGGAGATTGTGTGGTTAAAAAATAGGAAAAAGTTTTGGGTTGACATGCAAAATGTTTTATTGTGAGAATGTAAGGTTGAAAATGAGTGAAAAAAGAGTTCTATCTTAATGGTTGTCAAACGGGGGCTAAATGGGAATCTTGCTGGTCACTGTTGGACTGCTGGGGTAAGATATTTTTCTAGTTAAAAAAATAAAAATAAAAATACAATGCAATTACACATGATGAATGCAATTGACATTGTCACTCATCATCTTTCACTTTTCAGTATCATGATTTTGCACCACTTGCTGGGTCTGCGGTTATAGAAATGTAAAGATTTTCTTGTTGATCTTAGTTCACCATGTCTTACAATCATGTGCAGGTCAAAATGACAAATTTTGAAAAAAATATAAAATTATTGAGTAATCACATGGATTTGTTTCTGCATATCTAAAGACGTGCGGATGATACATTTTTATATCTAGATAAATACATCATTTCCCAATAGGTCAATTCTTCTGCCTCATTAAAACGGCTCTCGTAATATTGTGCAGAATTCAGTTGTTTCTAATCTATTGGATTATTGACGTAATTTATATTGAGCACAAAATGGTCCGTGTTCGTTTAGTCTGAAAAGTTGTCAAATGCATGGCTTCACTTGCCACACTTGCACATTGAAATTCTGATGATTGAAAATTAAATAATTATGGACATATCAACTAGTTAACTCTCGACCTCCTTAAATGCAATGCAGTAGACAGTGGGAGATGAGCTAGATGGTGGGAATATAAGTTCTATTTAGGCAGTAAAATTTGTGACTTGAGGTTTAGCCAGGGAAGATGTCTTGTGAACATAACTTCCCTGAATCTGTAGAGTGTCATTCATGTGATTCCTAAATTAAATTTGAGACAGGCACCAGATGCAAGAGAATGCCCAAAATATCTATTTCCACCATACTTTCTCAGTGTTTATACTTAAAATACTGTTTCAATCCCTTTTTATTAAGCTCTGCTTTTTAAAATGCCTTCGAACATCTATAGCAAAGCTATATTGTTTTATTATGAAATGGAGCTGCTTTCATAGATAGGCGCATTCGTGTGTGCACACACACACGCTAGATACTGATATGCACGCTCAAACCCATACAGAAAGAGGGAAAGATAAGGTAGTATTTGTTTTGTACCATCTAACCATTACATAATTGTACAACTGGAAAAATTAATGCGTCAGAGCTAATGAAGAGGTTTGATTTGATGAACATTTGAATATTGCCAAGTGCACATCTGATAAATTTTTTAATTTTTCAAAAGTCTAGCCTAACTGGATTTTAGAAATCTTGGTAACCGCGGAACCAGAAAGTATATAGCTTCTTTGCATTTGTAAATGAGTCAGAAGAAACTTAAAATTAGGTAGGCAAAAGCTTTTGACTTACGTTAACATGATAAAAAGTTGCATGCTTATTTTGCTTTCTGATCAATTAAATGCTCGGCTTGGTGCAGAGGTGGACAAATGTTCTATATTGATTTGTATAATTACGTTCGTTGTTGCCTTTCGATCTTGTAACTATAGGCTACAGTAAATAGTAATCTTTTCCGGTGGTAGGTTCATTATATGGAGTAATCGGTGCTGATACAGTCTTCATTTTTCTCTAGTCATTATATTTGCATGCATTATTTCATTAAGCTAATTATTATCTGACAACAGAAGCTCGTAACAATAACCAGAATTATAGAAAGAAGAAGAATAAGAAGAGAAACTGGAGAGAAAAGATTATAGTTTTTATTCAATATCAAGGCATACGTGCATAGTCTCTCATTATATTGGGTTTTAAGTAGGAAAACAAATAAAGCAATAACGACATACTAGAGAACCTTTAAACTAAACCCTAATACCTTTTCTTAAAATAAGTGTCTAACCTTGGTTAATCTTCAATATTGTATTATTACGGAGATGATTAACTGATGGAAATGTGAAAGATTATTTACTTCCAACCGCAAAGACACCCAATCATATGCTCGTTATTCTTTGTGCTCTTTATATTGCATATTTCCACTGGCTGTTGAGTTAGATTTAAACCAAAGCTTTCTTGGTAACATTCCTTGATTTTCTTTTCATGAAAAATTTCAGTTCAAGGTAAGGAATATGGGTTTGGTGCACATGACTTCCCAATCAGTGGACTGTTTGAAGTGGAGCCTAAGAGCTGTCCTGGTTTCATATATAGATGCTCTGTCCCTCTGGGTTATCTTAACATGCCTCCCTCAGAATTTCGGACATTTGTTGAGAGTTTAGCTTCTGAGTATCATGGGAACACCTATCACCTCATTTCCAAGAACTGCAATCATTTTACAGATGATATTAGCAAGAGATTGATAGGGAAAGGGATTCCTGGATGGGTGAATCGGCTGGCACGGCTAGGTACAAAGTTCTGACTTGAATATAATTTCTATCTCATTTAGTTTGATAGCAGTGGGGATTTCTTATGCAATTAGTAAACATGGAGTCTTTATAAAAAATATCAATTAATACGTTATGCAGATTTTTCTCACAACAAGCATATCATATCTTGATAGTTCAGAGGCTTTGATATGTCGGTGCTTCCTAGAACAACAAGAAGAAGCTAACCTTATTTAATCGTTTTGCATCATTTTATTCGATCTAGAGCTAGCTTATTTGGAATATCCAAGAAATAATTTTTAATATTTATTTATTTATTTTGGCACACAATTGAAAAGCCTTGGTAGTTTTGGTCTGCCTTTCATTTCCTGTCATATTTTGATGCGATTACATAGTTTTTGTGGACGGGAGTTTCTATATATCTTGTTGCAGGTCACAACCATCTAGATGTCGACGTCCCTTAATTTATTCACAAATAGTCTTATCCCCACATGTTTGTGTATCTCATTTCTTGTTCTATCCATTCTAAGTTGTCGCATATCTATCTTAACACCTTCATTTCTTTTGCATGTATTTTATTGACATTTTGTCTTTAATAAGCCAACAAGCTATAACTCATAGATTGTGTAATAATTGTTCTGTAGAGTTTTTGTTTTACTTTGATAGATATCTTTTGATCACATAGAATTACTGTAGCCTTTTCATAATCTGCTTTTGACTCCTTCTTTATCCTTATTCCTGCAATGGCAAAATAGATATTTTGTGTATTTTGTATTAGTTCAAAAGATCTTGGATTTCAAACTGCTTCAATTTCCTTACTGTACCTTCTTTAAGTTTTACATTCGTGATAGTATTCCATGCATTTCTTAATACCGATGTAATAGAAAATCATTTTTTCTCTAGCATCCGTCATGTCACTTCCCTTGGTACCATATCATATACTTTTTCTATATCAATAGGAACAATATGTATTTCATATGTTCACTATAATTTACTATGTAATAGATTTCATGGGTTTATCTCCCTAGCATAAAACCAAACTAGCTATCTGAGACTTTCAAAAATATATCAATTCTGGCTCAGTCATCAATCATAGTATGACTCATAACCTAATATCTCTATAGTTCGTGTAATCTTGAGTTTCTTTCATTTCTTATACAGGGTCTACATCTATCTGTTATTAGCCATCTCTTTACTCATAGATCTCATTACTAATGTTGTTGACCATAAAACACTCACTTTGCCTAGGATATTGGTTCCATTGAATCCAATTGCTTTTCTCTTCTTGATCATCCTCACAACTTCACCCACTTCTAAGATCACTATCCATCAAGGGAGCGTGCTGTTTTAGTAAAGTTTGAAAGAGTAACAAGATCCATGATATACATTCTATTAAATACCTTTCAAAAAATATTTCTTCTAAATTGGATCTCATTGTTATAAATAAATTTATGATTTTCAGCACACAACTTTGTTAAGATTGAAAGATTTACAAGATCCGTGATATGCATTCTAATAAATAACGTAGGGTCGGTCTGATTGCAATGGTGGAAGAAGCAAACCAATTCCATGTAAGTTGGAAAAGAGAAAACCACTAAAACCATAGGAATTCGATTTCTACTCAATTGGCCAAAAACATGTTTTAAGAGTTTGGACCTTGGAATTCAAACTCCATTTTCACTTTCGTATCAAACAGCCAAAGTAGAAAACGAATTCCTCGGATGTGACATTTTTCATGGAATTTAATACTATCAAACGGACCCTTATAGAAATATTTCTTCTAAATTTTGTGTATCTCATCGTAATAAAATACCTTCATGATTTTCATCTTTCACACAACTTTGTTAAGATCTCTATTTATCTTTTCCTCTGTTGAGATTTCTCATAGATTGCTTCCTTCCCATTATTGGTTCTATTTTGTCAAAAGCCTCCTTCATTTCTAATTTTTCATAGAATTCTCTTTCTAGCTTTAATTGTCAACTAAAACTTCTTTCCACCACCATACTTGGTTATTAACTGGAATTCTACCTCAGACTGTCTTAATAATACCTCATTTGACATTACTAATCACCATACTCCACATCAAGTTACTTGTATTTTAATTTGCAAGTTCTCCTTCTTGTTCTTTTCCATGTCTTAATAACCACGTCAACCACAGCTAACCTAATTGGTCAGGTTGTTGCTCATTTAAGAAGCTATGAGTGCAATACAGACAAAATATGTGCCAAGAGTTTGGTTGCTCATATAATATGGAATACATAATTGGCAGTTCTACCTTTTTGGTGTACCTGTTTGTCATCGATGACATCTCCTGCATTCTGATGAAAATAATTTGTAATTTAGGATTTCCAAGGATATTTGATACTCCATAATGGCGTGGAAACTAACGGATTGATGATGGGCGACTTGTGAATTAGATTAATGTTACGCCTTGGAGGCATTTGAATGTCATTATGCCAGATTCTTGCATCTAACATGCCATCACCAATATAAAACTTGCGATTTCATTTTCTAAATTCCTCCCTCTCGTGAAAAACTTTAACTTGCAGGTGCTTTCTGTAGCTGTCTTCTTCCTGAAAGTCTTCAAGTATCAACAGTTAAACATCTTCCTGAATATTATGCTGCTTATTCAGGCAAGCGTCTTTTCTACTTCTTCAATGCAGTTTTGCCTCCTGATTCCCCTCCATGATGATAGACCAATCATTCCACAAGAAATTCTCTTACAAGAGTAACTTCCTCATGATTATCTTTTTACTACATTCAGAGGAAGATGGAAGTGGTTCTTCATCTAGTGCAACACCACACGAGCCAACAGAAAGTGAAGATGGAGATCACGATAAGTTGCTACAACAACTAGGTGGTGATGTGGCACTTATAAAAGAGGTGCCAAGGTGAAATTGGTTTTCTCATTAAAATGGAAGAAAACGTTGGTTTATTGAAGGATTGCTCCGATCATTGTTGCTTGAAGAAACTCTGCAGACCATTGAGAGCTACATTACTGCTAAAATTCTTGATTTCATGCTTGTTTGATTTGCTGTTTTCATCTTTCTTTAATTTCCTGTTAATATTTCTTTTATCATAACGAAGAATTGTGCCAAAGTAGCAGATACATTAGCAGTGCTTTTTCAGAGGTTTTGGAAAAAAATTATGTGGATTGTGTTTCTGTGATTTGGTTCCTTTGGATTGGAAATCTGTTTCGTAGTATACTAAACTCTCCAAGAGTTGTCTTTATTGTATGTGTTTCATGTATACTAAACTCTCTAAGAGTTGTCTTCATTGTATTTCATGTATACTTCAGATTTTTTGTTGTATGTTTTTGCATTCAGATCAATCAAGCATACAAGATTCTGAACAGATTAGTCTTTTTATTAATTTATGTGAAAATCTGAACATTTTTCATTGCTGGTTCCAAGCTTGGGCCAAGAAAGAGGGTTGCAATAAGTAGATAGGACGTGTAAAAATTTGTCTAATGTTCAAAATCTTTTACGCGAAGAATTTGCTACTTTCCTTTGCCAAGCAACTTTACTTTGAAATCTTGCTTTGGTTTACCCAATTTATATTGCTTGGCTACTATTTTTGCAGTGTCGATATCATTCAATAATCATATTGGTTTTCAAAAATAAGTTATGTAGTTGGCTACTTTCGCAACTTGAAACATCAGCAGAACTGGGCAGATTCAACATAATGACCATGGGCAGAGCCAGCACCCAACGAGCCATTACGGCCTCCTGTGCTAGCTCTGTCGGATTTTTTTATTTTTTATTTTTTCCATATATTGGATGGCTGCGGACGCTCACCTTGATCTGCCCTAGTTCACTCAAATTCCTAGATCCACCATACTAATAGAATGGAAATTTGAAAACCAAGCCCCAAACTAAATATTAGACAAGAATGTTTAAGCACCAATATGTCTAAAATCAAGCTATAGTTGTACACCTGATAGCACCGAGCAACAAGAGCAATGGTGAAACTTTATTAGTAGCCAAAATAAGTTCCGGTTCAAAATAGTCCATCAAATTCTTTATACCGTACAACAATAGATAATAAATCCCTCCATATACCATTGCTCCACCCAAGCTAAGTTAAAACTTGCACTATGTGCATCTTCTCATGATGTCCCATCCAGGCCAAGCTTTGAAGTTAGCCATGCACAAAGTTCATTCATTTCTTCGGGGATAGTATAGTGACCAAGCCTGTTCGATGGAATGCTCCATCAGTTACTGCAAACTTAATGACGAAAAGCTTTATTGACAGCAAGAAAAAGTACATACCCAGAATATGATTTAAATGTCGTGTCTTGAAATCCAGACGATGATAACTTGTTTGCAGACTTCTCACCAAAGTTATGAGCAACCACATCATCTCCTGTGTCAGATTATACGGGTATAATCACCATGTACACCATGGCAACAAGCATTAAAAAATAAACACTTCGTTAATCTGAATCTCCTAATGCTTAATGGAAAGTGCAGAGGCCTTTTGCAGGGATAAATAAAGAGAAAAGGTAAAACAGAACGATTAATCCCAAAATATCTTCTCAACCAACAGAAATACCATTCTTCTATTTGATATCCCTAGGATTTATACCTTTTCCATGACAAAGCAGAATAGGCAAGGATGCAGCACGGCCAGCAGCCTCATTTACCCCTTCTAATTTGCTACTTAGATTCCTGGAGAAAAATAGCAGTAATGATAATATATCAAAATGAATAGAACACAATAAAGATATCATTTCTAATAATATTATTGTTCAGGAATCTCACTTAGCGCATGGAAGCCAGCCACTTAATCCAACAACTGCACTCAAATTGGCTGGATATGGGCTGCCATTCTCATACTTTCCTTGAGCGAAGCAAATTGCAGAGTAGAGGGCGACTGCTGCACCCATACTGAAGCCTCCAACCCCGAGTTTTACTGTGACAAATGTCAATGGTATTAAAAGTAACTAACTGGTTAGAAGTTTGCCCAAGTTAAAAACTCCATACTAATGAAGCTGGTAGAAAAAGAAAGAAGGAAAAAGAAAAGTTAAAACTGAAATTAACTCGAGGCAAGATGTTAACTGTAGTCTCATATTATTGCCAACATCTGGATTTCAAACTTGTTCACATAAGTTACATAAAGTGCACATCACAATGTCTTAAATTGTTTCCTAGAAGGAATAATCAAAAGTTCATGCTTCCTTATATGCGAGATAATGAAAACGTGATAGCACTAATACACCCCACGAGGTGACACCAAACGTAGTTCCAGTATTAGTACCGAGAATACAACAGCACTACCAAGCGATCCCATAGAAACACATAGAAATAGTGCAGATATATATGCGTGTGTGTGTGTGTGCGCGTATGTGGGAGCGCGCGCGCACTCCATTAGAGGCTAACATAGTAAGCAGTGTGGAGGATGCTGTGTCCATCAAACTTGCTTTTGTTCAGTAATGTAGCACTTTCCAGATGCATACAGATAACGAAGGAGCAAACATGGCGGATGTGACTCTCCAAGCAACATAGTGTGTATGTTTTAGATCATTAGATGCTGAAGTGATATAAATTTAAAATTAGTATTGATATTTATCCTTGAAGATGGAAGACAAATAAGACATCCAAGTTGTCAGAGAACAGTATTAACATTCTGCAGTCAGAATAAGCACCAATCCTTAGTGATTCAAGATATGTTCTTAAGCAGGCAGAGGATGGAATCAAGTACTTATTCTGATCTATTTTTCTATCATTTTGGCAGTGACAATGATCTAGCATTTTACTGGGGACTGCTGAAATGCTTTGATCCCTTTTTTGGGGAAAAAAAAAGAAAAAGTTCTAGCATTTTAGATACTGAAACACAAAATTTACAGAGAGATTACACATATAAAGCTGCAAGAAGGAACTCACTGTTTTGGGGTTCATTGGCCAATAAGCTCGCAACATATGCTGCTGCAGCATCCAAACCCTCTATATCATCATTAGCATTTTCAGAAAGTTCATTCACATCAAACCCTAATAGATAGCACAAGAAATACAGTTGATAAATAATGGTTGGTGAATTTGCATATATGAATTCAGAGGGGGGATGGGGGTGAAGGTACACATGATCATGACAAGTTACAATATTAGACACAGCATTAGACAAACTATAATCATAAGGCTTTGATTATTAACTAGCAATTACTATTATTTCTCTTCTTTTGAGTAATTTAAACAATTAAATATTCACTTAAATAAATTACTCAAAAAATTAAAAGCCAGCTAGCCTGTTTGTGAACCAGCAACCTGCTATCTCAGACTTGAGCTCAGCAACACTCCAGATGAGACAATTTCAAATAGTGCATCTTTAGCAATAATGCTAGAAAACAATGTACTTTTTTTATTTTTTATTTTTTTTGTTTAATATTATTTTAAGTAAAACAAAAAGGTTACCCCAAATTCTTGAGCTCGTGCTTGGGTTCAAACTAGGCTGAAGCTTGAGTAAAACTCATATTTTTACGATCAAGCTAGGGATTGAACTTCACAAGGGGCACTATCGAGTTCGATCCTAACACAATATATTTAACTTCGAGCTCAATAATTCTCCAAGCATTCAGCTTGTCTCTGCCCATTTCACCCTTTACCATGTAGTATCTCTTCTGCACGCATCACAAAAATAATATAATTTCAATTTAACTTACAAGCAGTTGAAGGAAAGCCTCCAAATAAAGTTATTGGTTGTTGTGGAGCAGTTGGGCAGATCCATTTAATCTGCAGGTATATTGAATTAAAGCAGATCAGAAATCGGTGATCCATATATGAAAAGATTATTTGCGAATAACAAATTCTGGGGCAGCAACTATTAGAGGTAATTAGGCAAATTAGTTTATTTTATTACCTTGTATAGAGCACAAAATCAGGGATTAATTCCCTTGTATAATTTCCATATATAACTATGTACCATTCTATAAATTAAAGGCAATACAAAGGAGAAATTTGCCAGTTCAAACTCCAATTGAAGTCTTTGAGCATTGTTGTTTTGAGTGTAGATTTTCTTCAAGTAGTTCCACATAGCACGGGCTGACTTGTAGGACCTGAGATTAAGAACAATCTGAGCATCAACCGATCCAACAATCCAAGTCATAATTCGAGAATCCTTCGTTTTCCGGGCAATGTATTTCTCCTTGTCCTTCTCTTGATAAAGAGATAGGAGACTTCCATCAATATGTCCCCACAACTCAGTTTTAACCTCAACCAATAATTGAAAATTAAAAGCCCATGAAGAATAGTTCTTTCCAATAAAGCAAATGCAGATAGAATCACCCTTCTCATATGACACGACGAATTTCAATCAAAATTAATCAGTAAAATCATATTCCACCAACAACTTAAGTCCAAATACTATAGCCCATCAAACACAACCCAAGCTCAAACAAAAACAAATTACCTTAAGGGTAGCCCAACAACAAAGAAGGAATACAGGCAACCAGATAAATTATGTAAAGCCCAAATCCTCCACAGGAGGAGCTCGAAGATGCTGGAAGTGTGACCAGCGACTACTGACAGCGCCGAAACAACCTTCGACGACCAGAACCAACCTTGAAGACATTGAAAACTGTATACCCAAATCCTCAGATGGCACCAACAATCTGCGACATTACTATGGGCGACTCAGACAGCGTTGTAGAGATGAGATGCGACCACAGACGACTTCAACTCCGATGAACAATGGTCCGACTAAGCCCACCAACCACGCTGACCACTATGATCCAGCCACCAACCACAAACAGCCAGGAAGTGCCGGAAAAAAGAAGATGACCACAGGTATGAGAGAAGTATTTTAGGGCTCTGATACCATGCCAATTTTGCTCGATAATTTCTCCTTTGTATTGCCTTTAATTTATAGAGTAGTACATAGTTATATATGAAAATTATACAAGGGAATTAATCCCTGATTTTGTTCACTGTACAAGGTAATAAAATAAACCAATTTGCCTAATTACCTCTAATAGTAACTTCTGTGATGAATGCTTAAGTACAACACATTGTAGACTTACATTTGGGAGAGGAAGGGTCTCCAAGAGACTGGACCAGCTGCCACAGAACATGAAAGCAAAAGGGTTGGAATCATCCTTTATGGTAAAGTGTGATTGCTCATTGCATTACAATCAGCACTCAATATGATACATGGCAGAAAAATGCTATACTTTCATTTAGTAATAACATCCATTTAGCAAAAGCATACATATTCCATACTCTCTGCATCTCACCATAAACGGCTCAATTAGCATTCTGTTCAAAAGTTCTGGTTCAATATGACAAGGCTTGATACAATGTTTTGTTTCCTCCTTATCAATTTATTTTTTCCTATTCGAAATCTTCTCAATCTACTGCACTTAGAATAAAATTAAGAGGAACATACAGGGTTGTCAAATTTGTGACGCTCTCAAATTGTTGAGGGTAATAAGTCTTTATTGGTCTAAGTTGGAAAACAATTACTTATTCTGACAGTAATCCCCCCTTACTATCAAGTAAAATTTTTACTTACAAGAAAAAAAATGCTAATAAGCATGCCTAAACATGTTTGAAAACAAAATTATTTAATTTAAAGCTTAGCCAAACCTGCTGACTAATCGTCCTTTATTTTAGGTACTTTACTTAGTTGTGTGTGCCAAATAATACAATCGATTTGGTTATCAGTAGAGTCCTCCAGACTTCCTTCCTAGCACTAGAATGCATTATGCTATTTCGCCAAGAGACCATCTCAATGAAAAACGAATTATTTTGGCATACAAGTAAAAAGTTTGCAATAAGCGGGAAAGCTTACAGATTGGATTTAAGTGGTGGAGAGAGTTATTGAATTCGACAATATTCCACAAAAGCAAGGTAAAAATTCCAACAAAAATAATTTGCTTACTTTTGGTGGGAGAATCTAAAGAGACAAAGTACTTGCAGTGGGGAAGTCATGGTCAGAATTGGGAAAAAATGAAGAGGTAATTCAAGAAGGATTCCCAACAAAAAAATAATAAACAAGATACTTTTGTTGAAGAATAAACAACTAAGTTTGAATGCTTGACATTTAAGTGGTGCAGAACCATAAGAGTAACTAATTAAGCAATATTTTATTATCATGGTGGCTGAAGGATTATATAAGTATTGTTGGTTATTTTGAGCCTTAATGGACATTCATTGAGGTAAGTAAGCTTGCACAAAAGGTAGAGACATAGTGAAAAGAGTAAAAAATGTCAATGGGATAACTCCTTCAACTGGGAAATTGGCTCTCCATTTAAATCAGTACAATTTCTTCAAATGTGAAAGAATCTGAAGACATTTATGGGTTTCATAAAAACATTTCTCATTTGAGACAGAATAATTCTTCCAGGAGAGATTCGTGAATTTTCTTCAAATGCCGCACATATGGGCATATGCATCTAATTGCCCTATTGGCATCATCCTCTGTTCGAGGAGTTAATAGAGGGAATATAAGAGTGAATTGGGATGGGAAGAAGATAGATATGAAATAAGTTGATGAAGAGGCAGATGAAGATGACCAGCCACAAATGAATACATTTTGAACCAGGCAAATTCTCATGGAAAGGTGATGTGGCACAGGAAAGAGAAAGACAGAGGGAGGAGGAGGAGAAGGGATAATTGGAGAATTGGGAGAAAAATGAAGAAAAAATTTCAATTCACAGAGACACCAAAGCAATTGTCTTTTTATTCAGAAATAGTAGTCAAAATTATTATTTCTAACAAAATGAAAAGTTGCCAAAATAACTAACTGGAAAATTTCCCAACCACAAAGGATTGTACTATTGAAGACAAAATTAAAGGAGCTGCAGCCATATGGTGGTATAAAATGAATTAGATAAAGGGCACTTGCTCGTCAATCAAGTTACACTCATGGCCAAGCTAAGTTAGTTTGAGAAGTAGTAATCACTTTGCCAAAGAAACATAACTACGAATGAATATATTGAGAGTTAAATGAAATACGTTTCCTCGGTTCAAAATTACCGGAAAGCCAAATATGCAAATAAAATTGTAACTTATTCTGCTACTGGCCACATACCTATAGAAGTGGCACGTTACACTGACGCATAACCAAACATTAGATAGCAAATGGATAAGAACTAACCATTAAATACAATAACAATAGTTTTAGCTATAACGTTCAGCTCATTTCATGGTGGGGGGGGGGGGGGGGGGGGCAAATGGATAAGAACTAACCATTAAATACAATAACGATAGTTTTAGCTATAACGTTCAGCTCATTTCATGGTGGGGGGGGGGGGAATAGGAAAGTTCTGATTTTCAAAACAAAGCAGATTTGTTGGGATGTCAAGGGGGCAAAGAAATAGGAATTAGAGAGTGGAATGAGTACTATTATCATTTTCCTTATTAAGTGTTAATACAATGGCAACAAATGTGCATTTATGCTAGTTTGAATGCAGGTAAAAAGAGAAGCCAACATCATATGCTTGAATTTGAAGCCTCAACTGTATGATTTTTCTCCCCATGCGGTGAAAAGAGTTGCATACAAGTTACAGAAGAGGAAAAAAGAAAAAAAGAAAGTAACGTTAAAGATTGAGATGGCACGTAGGAAGTGGTAAAATTTTAACCTAATGGTTGCTCTGTTATTAAGAATTATGTCTTTTTTATCAATCTGAAAGCTTGTTATGAGGCATCCACCACATATTTCCCACTGGAAATTAGTATACAAAAAATAACAAAAAGGGTAGCAATAGTTTCTCACTCGTTAAAGTTTATTTTCATGTCATACATATTGCCTAGTTATCAAGTGGCCTCAATCTAACAAATCAATAACACAGATAAACTTGAATTAAAAATAAAAATAAAAATTAAGGTGGAATTCTTTAGATCTCTGTAATTGCGTTCTAAAACTCCTAAAAAGATATAACTATTTAGTCCAAAAATATTGATGATTAGGTTAACAAGTTGACAGAGATAGAGATAAAGATAAAGATGGAGATAGATTTTAATTATGATTTTGAAATGAGAGTTTTAATATTCCAATATAGTTGTTTAGATTAGAATAATTTTAATATATTGATAGGGTTTTAGTTTATTAAAGGTTCATTCGATTTTAGATTAATTGCTCTATATATAGAGGGCTCATTCATTTTAATAGGTACCCTTGATTATATGAATAAAATTGATTCTTCTTTACCCTCAATTCTTCTCTTCTTGGGATGAAAACATAAAGCACATGAAGATTTCCACATAAATTGGAAAAACTTTTGCTTTATCTTTTATATCAAGAAGTGGACAGTGGACAATAAGAATAGATCAGATAAAGAAAGTTTAATAAATAATAACACCATACTGCAAGTTAAAGAGGAAAATCTTAGGCCCAGTAAGCATGGAAGCCCCTGAAAGTTGAACTCAGCAACTTGTTAGGCTATATTAAAGAATCGATTCATTTCCCATATGCCAGAACTGGAAATGGAATTACCTATTGCCATTATCTCCAAGGCCATGTAGCCAGACTATAGTAGTTTGGTGTTTACCTTTAGGCCTCACCACATATGTCTGCCCAAACTGAAATGCCCTTCTAACGGTTCCTACATTGAGTTTACATACAGTTCGATCCGTTGAGAAAACCAAAAATATTAAGTCGATAAATAATAAAAATAAAATAAAACAGACAAACACCAAGCCACTTTAAGCAATCATGTCCTTATATGTCAGTAAAAATGCTGGGAAGGAAAACATTTTCGCATGAATTGCTATGTTGCAATATAAATAACTAGAACTATTTTATCAGCTTTATGAAAATTGCTTGGTAGCATCAGCAGACCTAATACACACAAAATTACAAATAGCTACTCTAAATGGAAAAAATGAACTGCTTCTGCAACAAGTTTACTTATTCACGACAAGAATCGTGACATCATGGTATGCCTCATCTTAATTAAACCAAGGGAACAGAGAGAGAGAGAGAGAATCACAAACTAACCAGAACCGACTGAAGGGCCAGTAAAACTCATATTAGTACCAATAAATAAAACTACAAGTCACCACTGAAACTGAAAATGGCACCTGCAAACACAATTTATCACATATCCATTATATGCAAGGATTACAAATTTCTCCTAATTACATTAAGTAATATATTTAATTGAAATAAATTCACCGCTGCGAACTGACGTCCAATTTCAAATGGAGATTCAAAACCCACGTTATAGATTACAAAAATAAGAAAAAATATCGTAGCTTTAAAATTGTGCCTACTCAACCAGACACACTAAATAAAAAATCAATATTGCCCAATTTACCGTACAACGCTCCGGAACAAGCAGATCAATAAATCATAACAACAACATCGAGTGTGAAAGGTCTTGATTAAGCAATTAAAATTATAATTTTCGGAAAGAATATAAAAGACTATTTAGATACAACGACCATGTGAAAATGGAAAAATTAAAAAGTCAACCCAAATATCATTTCTTGCAGTAACAATGTAGTTTGAGGATTTTTATTCGACATTAATAATTTTACCTGAAGAGGATGTAAACTCGATTGCTTAAATGCTTTTTCCCTCCGAGTTTTCTCTGATGAACAGACTGAGCGCTGCTTATCCTGTTACAGGACTCTTTTAACAATGGAACTACAAAGACCATGTTTGGCTATGCTTATAACAATGGAATTTTTATATTGGTAAAAGTTGTACTTTGGCATCCCTTCACTTCAAAATGTTTCATAATCATCACTCAACTTTCTAAAAATGTTCTTTGGCCACCACTCCTTCCATTCATTGCATAAGATGGATCAGCCAACGTATTTAACATATTATCTCTTCGCATCATTTTTCGTCTATTAGCGAACGTATTCCCGAACATGGGAGACTGAAATGCTTACAAACTTAGAAGTAAGGGAGAAGTTAGCCCTTCAAGTGATATGCCCCCCTATGGCAACCCTAAACTAAAAAAAGAAAAAACTCTATAAATAACTCGAAGCTTGGACTAGCTGTCAACTTGTGAAAGACTCATTGACGTATCTTAATTGATACTCCAAATAACACATTTTTTGCTCGAATAATTTTGCATGTATAGATTACTGTATCATAGAAGTTGGCCAGAAATCTCACATGTGTGGACCTCATGTGATGATAAAAAAATACCAAAAAAATACCCCACCCTCACCCCTTGCTGTGAGTTTCCTGTTGTGTTTCTATGAAATGACTTACAATACACAAAGAAAGGTCCTTTTTGCCCAAACCAAAACATTATTTTCTCCTTCAAAACACAAACAAGCCACCGAACAATCCATTCCCCAAATCCTAAGGGTGCATTTGATTTGTTGTTTTTAAGTTATTTTTCAATTTTAAATACTGAAAATGAGTTTGGTTTGGTATTTTCAAAAATGTATTTTTGAGAACAATGTTAGTCCTTGTTTGAGCCCCATTCTTTTGAAAAATTGCATTTTTCAATGGTATTTTAACATCATTTCAGTCACATATTTTTCAATAAAATAACATTACATACAAATTCAAAACTTTTCTTTATTTTTTAACTACACATTTCGCTTCGTTTGGAATTTTGAGAATTGATTTTTTGACCGTTGGGAGAAAGGTGGGGGCCACCTGTGAGACAAGAAGTTAAAATTTACGGCTGGAATAATAAAATAACGACTAAAAAAAACAATTTTTTGAAGTGAAAAATCACTCCCAAACGGGGTCTTCCTATTAATATGCTATTCAAAAATTCATTCTCTCCCCTAAAATGGTGCTAAAACAAGGGTTTAAACTTATAACATGAAATTTAAAATACATTTTTGACGTTTTAATTGTTATCAATGAAAATTTTGAGAACACTTAAAACATGGAAAACAAGCATTTAAATAAAATTCTAAATATTAAAAACTTTAAAAGAATTAAATATTAAAATAATAAAAATTTCGAAATAATAAAATATAAAATTCTAAAAAACTAAAAACTAAAAGAAAAAAAAAGTAAAATTCTAAAAAAATAAAATTATTAAAATTTATAAAATATAAAAAATAATAAAGCTCTTAATGGTTATTTACATAAAAGTTATAAAAGAAAAATCTTTAAATGAACACAAATAAAAATATTCTCAATCCACATTATTAATTTTTATTTTCTATATTTTTAACTCAATTTAATACTTATTTTTATTATACATTCGTAGGGGAAAAAATACTATAAGATTCACCAACTTTAAAATGCATATATTACTTGACAATATATTTACATAAAATTATTTTATTTTTACTGAATAATCAAATTTAATGGAATAAAATATCCTAAAATAATATTTCAAAATTTTAAATCAAACATATTTTATAGTTTTTCTGTTTTAAGAAATATTTTTTTAAAAAAATAAAAAATCAAATCTAACTTATTTTTAGCAATCTTGAAACAGACCCTTAAAAATTGGAAACTGAAAATGAGCCCAAAAATAAAAATTGAAAATTGAAACACAAATCAAACATGCCCTAACCTTTTTCTCTATTTCTCTTTTCTCCATGAAAAAGTGACCCTATCTTCTTCCTTAATTAAGGTCAACAAATTCTTACGGTATCAAAATGTCACACATGCATGAACACATGAGAGACCACATAAAGGTAGGTGATGATCACTAAAATCTCACAAGTGCACGGTATCGTATTTTCAAGTAATAAAGTATTATTTTCTCTAGTACCAAGTACTTAATCTAGTTCTAATTAATACTAGTAATTGTTGGTTTTTATAACTACATGTCTAAAAGGCTAATTTAACGATCAATTAAAAAGTGTTTATAAAGCCGATTAAGACACAAGCACTAATATCTCGATTTCCCCTTCATTGATCCATTTTAACACAACTCAAGATAATGATAACACTTGTTTAATATTGTTGATCAATGTTCCTATTTTTGTTCAATGACAATTTTCGAGTAGAATTAAATATATTAACACATGTGATCTAAATATATTTTTCTAAAAAATGCGAACATGAAAAGATGCAATCAAACCGCAAAGGCCAACTTGATCATTTTCCCCAAGGATTTTAGATGAGAAACTCCTACGATAGTTGTCGACTCCAACTATACTCCATGCAACAGCCCTGCAAGAGCATTCAATCTAAATCATGCAATACATATCAGTATATTTATATCCGTTATCTAACCCTATAATGATTGTCATACTATTCCTTATTTTTTCTCTTGAATAAAATAAAATATCACACATCAATTAAATTACATTAATTAATTGAAAGCACAAAAACTATAACCATCATCTAATATAAGCAACATATCAAATGCCAACTCTCGTCATTGAATTTAAAACTTCATAATAGAGGGATTATCTATTTCCTACTAACTAACAACTTAGGTAACCATTATAAAATTACTAGAATTCATTTTTTATTATGAGACATCAAAAACAATGTAGAATTACTTTCCAAAACATAGCTGAAGTTAAAGAAGGAAAAAAAATTTGTATGCCATTGAACCATGCCATCTCATGGTGTTATCCCATGCAATTGCATAGTCGTAGTACCGAATTAATAACTCACTGAATTCAGTCTGTTGACGATCGCAAGGTGTAATTTCTACCATATTTTTACTTTGATCCATGATTTCTTCTTCTTTTCGTATAAAAGAGAGGTTATTTCGAGTCCAGCAACTTCCAATTTCATTCTATTTGATCCATGTAGTCTTTTAATTGTCCGTTCCTGGTCCGAATCAATTTTTAGAAGTTTACGGTTCAGTCCCTAGACTTTACAAATCTTTTATCAAATTGACTCCCAAATATCTATTTTTGACTGTCCGAATAAGTGTAGAAATCAAAATTATCAGATACTCCCAAATTAAACATTTTTTTTATTCCAAACAAAATTAGCTTCTCAACATTCACAAACAAAAATACAATAATGTGGTTATCTGTTTTGCCTCATGTTCTGAAATCACTAGAACTAGTGGTGTCAAATTGAACGGGCCATGTAGGTGTTCATGAAAATATCCTTCGAACTAAACCACTGCAAGTGTACAGTTCGTTAACAAGTAATAAAGTAGATGTGAGTCCAACTATTGTTATATAGAGATTGATTTAGTTCGATTTTAATTATTGCGACCTTATCCAAAACAAGAATAATAAGATGTATTTGTTGTGATGAAATTATAACTAAAATAAGCTGATATGCAATTATAAGTGAATTTAACTAACTAAATGCAAATTATGCTAAATGAAAGTTGATGTGTTCGACAAACGCACTAGGATGCAAATTTTCATATAATATTCCTTTTTGACCTTAGTTCTACATATTGACAACACAGTTGAATTTCGAAGAATCAATGTTCCTATTTTATTTAATAATCTCTCTCAAATATTTTAAACCTACTCTCATATATGATCTAACTGTATTTTTATATACACTTAAGGATTCACATAAATGTATATCGATATATCTCTATCTCCTATCGAATTCTTTGACGATTCGTAACATGTCAAGCCAATTTTCCTACTTTTGAATGCATAAAATAAGTCATGACATTTACACAACTATCGTACACAATAATTGTGGAGAAAAGAAATTCATTTAAATCATCAAATATCCAAAAACGTGTTTTCAATGTCAAATGTGTAAAATTAAAGATTTAAAACTCATACTATATTGTTCGTTCTCCTAGCACAAAGAAATCTAGCCTAACATGTTAGGAGGAAGAAAACAAAAGAAACATCACCTAATTAAATCTTGAATTGAATCTTTGAGTTTTGGAATCGATCTTTGTGTTTCTTGCCTTCTTCTATGCTCTAAAACTTATATGAATGTGTTGTAATGCATTGTTAACTACTTATATAGCTCTAGGTCTTTAAAAGACATCTTAAAATTTGTTTCCATAAAAATTGGAGTCATATAGGTAAACCATAATTTTTCCTCGGAAATATGCTATAGTATAGTATAAATACATGCTATAGAATAGTTCAATGAAATTCAGCCCTGAAATTCTCTGAATCACACCATGCGACTGCATGGTATATTATACTATGTGACCACAAAGTGTAAATGAAAATCCAAAAGTTGCGTTTTAGTCCCCGAACTCCGTTTTCTCATTTTTTTGATCTCTTTTCTCGCTTCTTCTTCTTCCAACACTTCATTCCTTAGCTCAATTATTTTTCAACTCTTTCACATCTTTGTTTCTTTTTCCGGGTTATCTTTCAGCTATTTACCCTTTGGTCCTTGAACTTTGATTTTCTTTCATTTTAGTCATTTTTTGCTTTTCCTAAATTTTATCATATTCATCAATATTGTCCTATAGATATATAATTTATATAATATTAAGCCATATTCCATCATATTTGTCAACAATTATCCATGTTTTGCGGCTTAAATAAGAGTGTAAAATGCACTTATCAAACCACCAAATTTGAACTATTGTTTATCTTCAAACAAAATTGTAACTTAACTCCACACAAAACATGGTTTGATAACCTGCCATGTCTCAGATTGGAATTCAGTATAAACATAATGAACAACTTCAACAGTCCAAAATCAAATCAAATATCTAAATGTTATATGCATAACTCGACGTGTATGTGTAAACTCATGTAAACATATCGATCTCATGATTGGATCAACTCTCGACCCATATTAGTCAAATATTTCCTTTCTTCGCTTGAGAGATACATCCTCCTAAATTTATCCTTTTCACTCAATTTTCCCAGGGTGTATTCTAATGTTGAAGTTTAGTTAAGTATAATCCTTGCCTTCTCTTAGTTTGGATGTATATTAGTGTCACAAGTTTACACTTCACCAAGTAGGGATTCTATATTTTTTATTACTTCAACTTTTAAGATTAAACTAAGCTACTTGCCTCGCATTAAAGATATAGTTTCTATCAACCAATTGTCTTGGGGCTTAATCACTACAATCATGTGTTTCCTCACTTATTCTTGTTTTCTATTTTTTTTTTTATTTTTTGCATTTTCGTTAACAATTAATAAAGTGTATGCGAGTCTAAGTACCATTCCACAGAGATTGATTTAATTAGATTTTAATTATTGCGGCCTTAATCGAAATAAGAATAATAAGATGTGTTTGTTGTAATGAAATTATAATTAAAATAAGCTACTTATGCAATTATGAGTGAATTTAACTAACTAAAAGCAAATTATGCTAAATGAAAGTTGATGAGTTCGACAAACGCACTAGGATCACAAATTTCCATGTAATATTCCCTTTTAACCTTAGTTCTTCACATTGGCAACATAGTTGAATTTCAAAGAATCAATGTTTTTATTTTATTCAACAATCTATTTCAAGTAATGTTAAACCTACTTTCATATATGACCCGACTATATTTTTATGATGGATGTGAACACACAAGAGCGCACAAATTTTTATAAACGCTTAAATATTCACATAAGGGTATAGCGGTATATCTCCATCCCCAATCGGATCCTATGACAATTCATATTATGTTGAATATAATTTTCCTTCTTTCAAATGCATAAAATAAGCCACCACATTTACACAACTACTGTGCAAAATAATTGTGGAGAAAAGAAATTCATATAAATAATTCAATATTCAAAAACGTGTTTTCAATATCAAATATGTAAAACTAGAGATTAAAAGCTCGGTTCACCATTCTCCTAGCACAAAGAAATCTAGCCGAACATGTTAGGAAGAAGAAAACAAAAGAAATTATGAAAAATCCACGTCACCTAATTAAATCTTAAATTGAATATTCGAGTCTTAGAATCGATCTTAATGTTTTTTTTGCCTCATTCTATGCTTTAAAACCTATATGAGTGTGTTGCAATACATGGTTAACTACTTATGGACGCCCTAGGTCTTTAAAAGACATCCTAAAATTGTTTCCGTAAGAATTTGAATCATATAAAGAAATTACAATTTTTATGTCGAAAATGTACTATGCTATAGCATAGTACAAATGCATGTTATAGTATAGTTCAATGAAAGTCAGTCTTGAAAAATTCTCTGAATCACACCATGCGACCGCATATTGTAAACGAAAATCCAAAATTTGCATTTTAGTCCTGAACTATGTTTTCTCGTTTATTTCTTCCCACACTTCATTCCTTCTTTCAATTGGTTTTCGAATCTTTCACATCTTCGTTTCTTCTTTCGTTGTCATTTTTCGACTATTTGCACTTTGGTCCTTGAACTTTGGAATTCTTCCATTTTATTAAATTTTTGCTTTTTTTCCTAAATTCCATCATATTTATCAAGATTGTTGTGCAAAAACATAATTTATATAAAATTAAGCCATATTACACCATACTTGCCAATAATTATTTATGTTTTATGGTCTAAGTAAGTGTGTAAAAGCACTTATTAGTCGGCATGATCCCTCAAATCGGTCCATAATTCAAATGGGTTAGTTAACGGGTTAATTTATGTAAAATTCGATTTCGGCCGATCAAAATGTTGGGGTCCAACGATTAATCATCCAGCTTGTTAGCTTTTTAAAAATTATTATTATTATTATTATTATTATTTTTTTTTTATTTTTTTGAAAGAAGACAGATCTACCTTCTTTATAAAAGCAAATTTGCCTGCTTTGAGGCATTTCACAACGTAAGAATGACCCCTATTGCCTTTGATAGCCTTTAGATTGTCACAAAGAAGGCGTAATTCTTTCTGGTTTAAGAAAGGAGGAGATATGCCTTCTTTCAATAAGGTTTATCTATTTCTTTAAAGAAGTTGATGAGATTTGATATTTGACTCCCGCAATTTTATTATTGTGTTTAAACGTTTTTAACATTAGTAACATTCCTTTTATTTGGCTATAAATATTCCATTTATTTACACAATGAACTGACTATTCACACAAATATTTGCTTATTTTACATATTTGTTTAATAAATTCTTAGCAATTCAACCTTCATTTTTCTTGTTATAGATCTCCAATAACTTATCACGAACTAATTACTACCATGTTATGAAATTTTACGATTTTTCTACCTATAATATTAATTCACATGATGATTTCTTTTCAATAAATGCTTGATGATACTCCAGAAATTGGATGATCTAGCTAGCCAAGAAAAAGAAAGCAAATATTTGACCAATTTTAGAGTTGATTCAGAAAGAGTGCAGAAGAAAGCGTGTGGGTTTGTGGTCTGCGCACTGAATAAACTTTAAATGAAGCGGATAATGGGACCCGTACCCATGTCGTGGCAACGATTTTTTGTCCCATACCGTTCCCACTCCTATTTACCCGATTAGACAGGGAATCATCGCCCCATTCGAGGCGAGGCAATTAGATATCAGGAATAACTATTTTTTTTTCAATTGGAACACACGTGAGAGTACAATTGTAACACATTGTGGGAGATTACATAGAGAAAAATAAAAAAAACAATTTTCTCCTAAAATAAGTGGGGCCCAAAGAACCCTCTTCTTCTTCTTCTTTTTAATGAATGTGCTCAATTTTGGTTTCTTAATTTCTTCCATTTTTCATAAATCTAATTTCGTCTATTATGGGTGGTTCATACTTCTACTTTTATAGTCCCTATTTAGTTCAACTAAAAAAATTAGATTCAAATTTAAATTAATAATTAATTTAAACTATACATCCATGTATTAGTTAGTTACACATTTTTTAACTTTTATCAAAATTTAATGAAAATCTGTTTTTTATCTAAACCAAACAATGATATAGATTTTCAAAATTTAATTCCTTTTTTTAAGTATTTGTTAATTTTACCCGGAACATAAAATCGGTTTGGCCAATCTAGTAAATACCCCCTCAACCATCAGGATGTATTTGAGGACTCGGGTACACCCCGGATGTATTGAGAAACCCATTAGTTAAATATTTCATTAGTCATTGAACTTATATCGTCGCCACGTTTTACTCATAAAATTTTAAAATGTCACCACCTGATCATTGAACTTTAACACATTGCACTACATTACTCACTTACCATATTCCATAAGTTATTGAATTTTAAAATCCATTTGAGTGGTTGTTGAACTTTGACACGTTGCATTTTATCATCACTCAGCGTATTTCGTTAGTCATTGAACTTATATATTCATCACGCTTTACTCCATGAACTTTAAATTGCTTCCGATTGATTAGTAAATTTCATAATGTTTCCAAGTAAAGTTGATTTCTATGAGTTTGATCTAGATCAAGAAAGTAAAATAAAGAAGATATAATTTCGCTAGTAGTCAAAAATTATGTTTAAGGGGAAAGAAAAATGCTAACTTCAAAAGTAGAAAAATTATTTATTTATTTCGATTGAGATTGTAGAACCAAATCAAGAGAATAAAGAGTATATCTCAAACATGTAGTGAAATTTTTTTATTTAGAGTCAATAATATTAGTCAAGACTAACAAAATATAATTTTTAGAATTGTCACAATGTAATTCAAGAGGTAAGAAGGGTGTCGTCTTCATTTATGATATTATATAATTTAAAATTTTTAGGTTTCAAGTAGTTGGATTTAGTGACTAAAGTTCAGTAGTTACTCAAAAATATTTTAAAGATCAGTGAATAAAGTGTGACGAAATTATAAGTTCAATAAGTAATGCAATATGGTGAATGGGTGACGATAAAGTGTGACATGTTAAATTTCAGTGATCACTCGAAATCATTTTTAGACTTCAGTAACTAATGAAATATGATGAGTGAGTAACGGAGTACAATATGTTGAAGTTCGACGATATTGTGAAGCATTTTAAAATTTAGTCCATATCTGAACCCTATTTTTTGGGGAAAAATGTATTATAGTGAATTTTTTGTAGAGAATATGAGGTTAAAAACTGATTTTCTCTTTTAGATATATGTTTAAAATTATTCTGGAAAAAATATTGATTGAAAATATATTTTGAAAAAATTGAAGCCAAACCTAGGCTTAGGGTGTAAAGCATGATACAAGTATATATTGAATGACTAAGGGTCTGCTTGGAAGTTTTTTCCATCGATTTTGTCCGATTTTGAGTGGTATCGGTTATGAGGGGTAGAAAAAATTGATGCTTACAAAATTTTTTGGCACCAATTTTAGATGATTTAAAAATCACCCAAAATCAGTATAATGTAATTATGACTGATTTTCCCAACCCATGAAATCGACGGGTTTTGATCGTTTTTTTATATTCTCTTCTAGTTATACCTTTTGTAAAATATTTATTTCCAATCAATATCTATATTTTTTCAAACTAACTTTAAATATAAATATATCAATTAAAAAATTATTTACAAGTAAAAAATAAATTAGAATTAAAAAAATACTTATATGTAAAATATTACTAATAAAATAAGAAAAAAATACATTGTAATTAAAAATTACTTATAAGTACAAAATAACTTTTATGTAACAAAAATTTGTTTATAAAATAAAAATAATACTAATAAAATAAAAATATACTTATAAAATAAATAATTACTTATAAGTAGATTTTTTTCTTAAATTTATTTTTAAAAATAGCTATTAAAACCCCTCTCAAAATCGATCTGGTCAAAACCAGTACGCTAAGCAGGCCCTAAATGAAACATTTGACTCAGAAATCCATTTACCGTAAAATTTGATCCCATTTTCCCATCCAGAAATTACCTTTCTCAATTTTGCTGCTTTTACAAATCTGATATGGCGTCGCCGTCTGATCCATCCAAACAGTAAGTGCTTTCGAAAGCTTTCTAGATCTTCGTTTCGTTTTTGAATTGAATTGTATTGAATGTTATTAAAGGAACGTTGTAAGGAAGCAAAACAAAGGTGCCCCGATCAAATTCTTGGTTCCTCTAATATATGCACCAGTTCTTCCTCTTAGTAAGATTTTTTCCCCGTCAAAGATATTTTCATTTAATTTTAATTGTCGATACGCTATACTTTTCCAGTATGTGATTTGTTTAGTGAATATCAATTAATTAGTGTACTTTCCGAACAGTTCGGCTAACGCTCCGCCACAGGCCGGTTTTGAGGGATCGATTATTTACTGGGGTTCTGGCTGGAGCCTTCGCTCATGGGTTATACTTGGTGTATCCTTTTTTCATTAATAAGTTGATGTAATTTTTAGTGCCTTTATGTTTTTGCCTGCTTTTATTTCCTTCATCGTGCATCATGGGTGACTTTGGATTCACTGATAAGTGGTTAGGGTTTTCCAACAATTGTAGGATCAAAGTTTTAATCTATTGGGCAACATTTGAATGCCTGTAACTAAATGTAGAGCTAAAACTTGGGGTCTTGGACTCTTACTTGGTGTGACGGTGCAAAAAGTAGATGGGGAAGGTGGATTGGATTCTAGACAATCAGCTGTTCTGATGGTGTAATCTTTCTCCTTTTTTACAACTAGATGCTAGTATACCATTCAAAACCGTTGTAATATCAATCATGGAATTCCCAACTTAGCAAATTTTCTCATTTCATAATATATACACGCAACATTTTCCCTTCAGTGCAATCACATTGGTTTTTCCTAAGGGCGGAAGGCCTTAAGCTCCGGTGAAATCCCTGTATCAATAACCATTGAAGGTTATAGAATAAATACAGGTAAAAGAGATAATATTTTTGCTTTGACACACAGCTGATGTAGAAGTTCAGATCAGTGCTCTAAGTAATCTCATACGATGTATAGCCAAGATGTGATATATAGGTTGGAGATACAATGTAGATAAAAAGGGTCTACATATGTGGAGAACTGCTGACAATGCCATCGAACTTAGAATGTATATAAAGGAAAGAGAGAACTGCTGAATGGTAGGTGAGAGCGGTAATACACGGGAAATTGGTATTATTTAAGTTGATTATGAAAGATACGGAGGAAAGATCTTCATTTATTAATATTAATTTTTGGAAAAGGAAATTCTGAATTTTGCCAAGGATAAAAGCATGACATGCTACTGTGCCGTCATGTTAATTTTGCTCTACCTCCTGTTTTGCCGACCTATTTTACTAAAATGGTATTTCCCTTATGAATGAGGGGTTATTCAGACCTTTGCATTACATGCTTCAACCAGCTACATTGCACATCCCTAATTTACTCCAGTTTGTGTCATCTGCATCCTTTGGTCTATATTTTCTTTGCTCTCCTTATCTATTCTAGCATGACTGCACATTCATTTGAACATCTTCATTTGTGCTATGTTAGTCTTGTGAAAATTTTCTCCTTTAAGGACCAACATTTTTCTTATGTAGCATAGACGGTGTATAACCGTTGTTTAGAACGTGCCTTTTTTTAACATTAGAGATTTCTCCATATCACAAACTTTCTGCAGTATATATTCATTTCATACAACCTGCAGTAAACGTATGCATGGCATCATCCTCGAGTTGTCATTCCTTGTTAATTATTGAACTTGAGAAACTTCCAATCACTGTAAATGACCACAAAAGGTCAATTTAAGGAAAAAGCAGGACCTGTGGTCTATTGATATTATCCTTGCCACCATTGTTGAGAAGGTAAAGCTCCTGTTTGGTTTAGCTAAAAAATATATCTTTAGTATATGATAAAAGTTGATGAAATGTGTGATTGAAAAGTTGATGAAAGTCGTGGGTTCCATGAAATGTGTGGTTAAAAATATGTTTGAGAAAAAATTAGTTTTAGAAAATGGGGGCCAAAATAAAAGTCAATAATTTTATTCTGCTTTCGAAACCTTAACTAGTTTTTAGTAAAGTTTATCTTCACTTCGACATTCTTTTGTTTTGAGAAACGCCTTGTTTCTTGAAATGTAATCCACATTGTTTTCTTGGGCATACATAGCCTATATGTTGCCTAACTAGTTAATTGCTGTTTTGTCGCAAAGTTGATTTTTAAGTGGAAAATGGGTTTATAACTATGATGCACGATGATGATACATTACATGACCTTGTTTGTGAGTTTTAGCTTACTTGGAAACAATGGACCTGTTACTTTGATAAAGTTGAAATCATTTTTCTTGTACTTCTATTATTTATATCTAGACTTTTAAGTCACCCCTAGAGCTGTTTCCTCTTCTGTTTACTTCATGCTTCTAACTTGATCTCTTCAGATGAATATCCGCTTCTTGAGCATTTCTTACCCAATAAAGACATATATTTTATTAAGGTTGCTTTCGGGGCAATTCTTTTTCTTGACCTGCTCTCTTTGGTAAACTTCCAAACGTGTCACAGTATTTTTAATCTTACTTCTACCTGTAGCTTTTGAAGTACACCGATACTTGATTTTTGGTTCACACAGTCCAAACTTCAAAGGTCATTTTGTTACATGCGAGAACCTATTTGCTTAACGAATATGTCAGAAGGGGGATGTATACACTATGTAACTAGCTCATAACTCAATTATTAGCTCATTAACGGATGACTAATATGTCTTAGTGAAGTGCTGGGCTCTAGGGACTTCTTTCATCACAGAAGTGCCACTATTATCGCATTCTTTGGTTTTTGAATATTCAAATGCATGACTTCCTGACATGGAGTTATATATGGATTCAAATGAATAATAATCACAACTTTTAGGAGTTCTCCTTGATTTTGTGTTACCAAACACCATAGGTCTCTGTACAGAATTCACATTCAAATTTATTATACCAAAATCAGTCTTGAATGTTTCTTCTCTTGCTAATTTCCCAAATGATCATTATCCATCTGAAATAAGTGCATATCATACACAATTCACCAGGATGGTTTTCATGATTTTATCTATTATAGCACATCTAACTTAATGACATTATCAAGTTACTTCAAGGTTCTAATGAAAATTGTGGTATTTTGGAGTGTTGTTAAAGTGGTACTGGCGTCAGCATTAATACAACACGAGGAAGAAGTATAGCAAAAAGAAAATGAAATTTAATTGTCAATGTTTAAGTAGTGTTCTCTATCTTCTGCAAGCAAAATCATTCTCTCAATGGTTGGCCACTTTCTGCTAGAGTCATAGTAATCTGCACTTGAAGATTCCATTTAGAAATATCGTTACTGAAAATTTACTTGGAATTGAGTTCGACAAATTGCTTGCCTCTTTTTCAATTTTATGCCTGAAGTAATCATTTTTTTATAGCCACCATGGAACATCGCGCTCCATCTTACATACAACAATTTGAATTGTTCGTCGTGGAATCTTGTTCCTTGTAAATGCTTGTTGGTTCTTTTGTTATTTTTTCCTTACAGATATGTTTAGAACAGATATATATGACATTGAAAGCAAGTGAATTGGCTGAAGAAGCATTTTCATGATTCTACATCTTGTATGGATGGCTTAAACGTTTATCAACTTTGGTAAACAAATTATTTGCTCTTGTTATGAACACGGGGTTCTAATTCCTCTCTCGTGGTGGATTTCCTTTTGTTAAGATTGTTATATGTGATTGCTGAAAATTCAGTAGTTTTAGTTTAGTTTATAAGTTTGAGGGAGCATAATTAATTAAGTAAATTTGTTCGAGCGGAAACCTTTTATTAGAATTTACTGCTTACAATTTCAGTTTGAAAAATAATTATTGAATGTGGACCAGATAAATATGCCTTAAAAGACAAAAAGGTGTTGATAAAGCAGCCTGAGCATCTTGCATTATCTACTATAATTATTAGGATATCATTTTTATTGAATAGATGCTTTTGTAAATGAATCAAAATTTTTATGGTCACTTCAAGGTTTACACCCTGTTCGGTGAAAATTAAAATTTAGATTTTAATTTAATTCAAAGTTAATAATTAATTTCAATTGCATATTTTATTAACTTCTATCAAAATCTACTATATTATCACTTAACTGGTGCCTTTAGGGCCCTTGATAATGGACGGAACATAGATCTTAACCTTTTGATTGTCAAATAATTCAAAGTTGTTTTAGACATTTGGTAAACTTAAAAGTAATTATAGCACTGGATTTGATATCCTAAACGCTGATTCCTAGTTTATACTAAGTTCTATACTTAGGTGGCACACTACAATAGGTAGTATAATTAATTTTAAAACTAATCATCATCTTTCATAACTTATTTTAGTGTGTTACGTCACTCGATGTTTAGCATAAGCTAAACATCGGTGTTTAGGATATCATGATTGATTATAGAATAATATGTATCTGACAGCATATTTTAAGAAATGGAAGAATTGTAGTTTCCCAGATTCTGCATTTAGCTTTTCAAATTATATATCATTATCAAATTTTGCCCTAATTAATTAAAGTAATTCTTTGTGTGTCCCGAGTTTATTGGTATTCGATAAGTAATTTGTTTGAAAGGTAGATATATTGGCACCACATATTTTAATTGCACAACGCTCCAACATTTTTTTTTTCTTTTTCTTTTTTGATAATAAAAGGGCAGGAAAAAAAAAAATTCTTTGCTCCTCATATCTTAATTTAAGTAAAAGAACAACAATACAAAAGTGTGATACAAAATTTGTCCCTTATTTCAAAGTATGTTGACGTGTTTTGGACAGAAATCATTATCAAGAACCAAATGCGATAATTAATGAAAGATTCGGGGGATTAGTAAGAGAGAAATGTCATTTGTACATTATGTTCGACATTTTCTTAATTGTAAAAAATTGATTAAAAAGGAAATTGCTTATTTATTTATTTTTTAACCATCGAACTTGTTGTACACTTTGATGTACACCTATACACCAATCATGGTTATTAGGGGAAAAAAACAAATGTTGTAGTAACTAATAATATAGCCATCTTTGTTTGAATACTTTTGTACTATGCGATCATGCTTTTATTTTGTCATTTAATAAATTTTGAAATTTAATGTTCATTTATTTTTTATTTTAAAATAATAATAGTGATGCATTGTCTTAAAAATATATGATAATATTACATATTGTTATAAAAAAACATTTTTACTTTTATAATAATACAATTATTGATTATAATAATACTAGAGAACTTTACAACAGTGGATGTTCAAGTTCATGTTCATATTACTCCTAGAGCACAAGGGTGTAAGCGGTCTGATTTTACCAATTTTTGATAGATTTTCAAACGAAACTGTTTAAATCAGTTTGAGAAAAATCCAAACCTAAACAAAATCATTTTGAACGGTTTGAAAAAAAATTTAAACCTAAGCCTAATGTTTTGGTTTGGCTTTAAATCGCCGGTTTCGCCATTTTTTTTTGTCTGCCTATTTTTATGTCATTAATTAATTGAAGTCAATATATTTTTATATCTTACTATCAATAAATCTAAAACAATAGCCTATGTTTGAACCAAATTTTTGAGACAAAAAAATAAAAATTTGAATTGCTATCCCACAAGTTCAGCGGCCTTTGTTGACCTGTTGTTTCATGTGTGGGACCTAGCCTTCTCTCCAACGATTAATTTTTTATTATGATGATATGAAAAATATGACTTAAATAAGGGTTAAATATATTTACTATTAATTTAAATACCAACTAAATTAAAGTGAAATCATAATAAACTAAGACATAATTTTTTTCCCCACCTTTTTTAAACTAATGATGATTTAATAACGTTACAATATAAGTCTACTAAATTAGATATAAGGCTCAAAAAACATAATGATGTCCAACAAGACTTCGTGATCGTCGTATTTGAAAAAAGGATACTGATTAAACAAAGATAATAATCAAACACAATAATAAAACAATTGTTTATAATATTTAAACATGATGGTTACACAAGTTTACGTTTGTATGATGTTACGAAACGCATTTAATTAATGATTCTTACCTTAGTTTACTCCAAAAAAAAATTATTGATCTGAAACTTTATTCATAACAAATATTATCATCAAAGGTCTAAGATTTCTTTGTCTCCCATTTGGTATAATAGATTTCAATTCAACTTTGAAAATGTGTGAAAAATCTGAAAAAGAAATGTGTGGTACCGGTGATTTAAGACTGTGTTGGGTGTTGGCTGGAGTTCATCTAAATTTTGAAGAGGAAAATGGCTTTTGATAGATTATGTTAGTCTTGAGATCATTAGATATAAATTAGGATTATTGGATTATAATCATATATCTTTTAGAAAATTAGAAATTGATAAAAATACCCACAAATGACAAAACTATTAATTTTACATATTTGGATGAGATTTCAAAAAATTTCATTTTTTCATTTTTATATATTTTTTCGCCAGTCCAGTTTAGTTTTAAACCGCAATTAAAATTCTCAAACCTAAACAAAATCATTTTGATCGGTTTGGTTTGGTTTAAAACCATTTCGTTGATCGGGTCCACGTAACACCAAATCGACAGTTTCGTTTCGATTTTTCAGTTTGACGATTTTTGCTTACAATCCTACTATAGCATGAAATTTAAATTGACACGTGTATTGAATAATGGAAACTCGATATTTAATTGGAATCCAGATATAGTTAAACAAATTTAATACATATATTAATTAAATAGTTTCAGGGGTATGAACGTTTTCCCCATTTAGAAATTGTATGTAAGCACAACAATAATCACATTTGTTTGTCAAACACTCAAATGTTGATTTTGAAATTAGTAATGTTATTTAGTTCCATCATGATTACAATTCAGTTTAAGTGACGTTAATATGACATTAAATGATAGGTGAAATTAAATAAGTAATTTAATTTCACATTTCATTCATCTTATTATCTAACGTCACCTGCACTGGGGTTGTAATCCTAGTGTGTGGCTGCATAGCATTATTCTTTTGAAATACGTGACAAATTTAAAATAAAAAATTACCAAACACTTATCTAACTTATCTGATTCTTTCTACAACCGTAAGCTGATTGCAAAATTGAAATTGAATCAGAAAAATTCTCAGTGGCTTCTAATTCTAACACATCCCAGCTACACCATTGCTCAACTCTCAACCCCCCAAATCATGTTACAGCCATAAAAGTAGCCACTTTGGAACTGTGTAATTAATAACAATTTATGTAAACCAATATTATAATGTTTAACGAAGGAATGAATATAACGAGAGATTAACAGCCTGTTTGGGAGGGATTTTTTACTCCAAAAAATTGATTCTTTTTACCGTTATTTCACTATTTCAGTCGTAATTTTTGATTTCTTCTTTCACAGGTGAACCCCATTTTTCTTCTAACGGTCAAAAAATAAATTCTCAAAATCTCTCCCAAACGGGGCCTAAGTTACTTGAAATTTTTAGAAAATTTCCTTTTAGAATGAATAGGAGAGAACTGGAGATGTCCTTATGCACCCATGAAATCTATGTGTCAATTACCTTAAGATGTTACTATTCAGTTAAATATTTCAATAATAATCATTCCTAACAATCAATCCATATCCTTATTCTATTAAGATCAAGTAGTTATTGGCATCAGACCCAACAAGTGAAACAGAAAGTGCTTGTAATCAAATAGAAAACTAAAAGTAGAATTTAGCGTTTGCTATCTGGTTAGAACTCGAGATAATTACATTTAATGTGGTAATGGATGGATAAGGAAGCAAAAGATAAAAGAAAACCAGCAGAAGTGCAATGCATTTTCAAGGGACTTAAATGGAATGCTATTTTCTTTAATAATTTTTAATTTCAATGTTTTTTGAGGGTTCATAGTTCCTTTTTTTATTTTTTTTATTTTTAAATATGGTTTCTTTATCTCAATAGAAATTAGTTTCTATTAAAATTTGAGAACGAAAGCCAACAAAGCAAAACATATGGATATCAGGAAATGTGAAATATATTTCATTTATATGTATTTAATGGGCTGTCACGAATAATGGAATAGACAATTGTTAGAATTACAACAGTCCAATATGATTGTGCCTTTTGTTATAAGATTTTTAATTTGGTTCAATTATCTGAAACTTGTTTGAATATTATTTTCCTCTCCTCCCGTCGATTGTGTGTTTCTAAAGGCAGATTATCAATGCAAATATGCAATTTGTGTTAAGTTGAACAGTTTAATTATTGCTGTTGTATAACCATTATATGGATTGATATCTGTGGTTCCAACTTAAAAAGAGAGGTTAAAGAAGATATTGGGTGCATATTTTCTCTTACAAAATTTTTTCATCATAATGAAGTACGGTAATTAATAACGGAACAGAACGCAGTTTCACATTGAAGCGAACCTCTATAAATTTTGCCTATTCTTGTATGTCCTTTTTTATTTTTATTTTTTGGGAGAATTGGTTGATTCCAATGGAATAGAATTTTTCTAATTCTCAACAACTCGTGTGTTTATTTACCTTAGAAACAAATGTAAACATATTAAATTCAAAATCCCCGTTCACAAACTTTGCTAAATCATATATCAACAGGAGGTAATCGATAAACCAAGAAAAAAAGTAATTAAAAAAAAAAAAATCTGATTTTACAGTTGAATGCATGAAATTTAGTTGACATTCCAAATAATAAATAAGTGGAAATGGCCGATTGACTTAGCCATATTTCCACTTTGGCCTTTGACTAGTTAAAAAAAAAGTGATAAATGAATTTACATAAATAAATTAAAAACTCTTCATTTTGCTCTTATCTTCAACAAGGTTAGAGAGAAAAGAAAGATCGCAATAAAAAAAAAAGA